TCCGTATCTATCGATGATATAGTATTTAGGTTTACGATGACGTAATTTGAGGGACCATTCGTTTACTAGTTTCAGAGGTCGTCGTAACGAATCGTGACGTGCGAAAACTTGTGTACTATGTTATAAGGTAGGTTGAACGAAAACGTCAGTTAACTGTGGTTGAGTGGAAACAGGTTTATCTGAACACATGTCGCTTGTAAGCTTGCCCTAGTAAGAGTTTATCTGCTTGAGGAATTTGAAGGATACACAAATTCTCATGAAAGTCAGAGTTTTGTTGTGCCAAACTATATCGAACGTTGAGTTCACTTCATTGCGAGTACCGACTGAAACGAGTGTAAGAGCATCGGACCGTCGTGGAACGTTTATAGCTGAGAGTTAAGCCTTCGGCTATCAGTGAAATTGTCCTGCCAACCTGTTAGATTGTGGGTGGTCGGTGGTCGTTCGTATTTGTGGGATTACTAGTAGTGTAGTTAGACAAGGATAAAATCCGGACTGGAACTGGAGTGATAGTCAAAGTTTCCCACGCATCGCTTGACGAAGGCGCGCGTCATTGCTTCATCAGTAACGTTCTAAATAGACACTGCCTCTGACCATCGTGCGAAGTGGTCTACACACGTTGAGAGGTAAGGGCATCCATTTGGATCTGGTAGGGGTCTTACTAAACCATGATGAATATGATTGAAACGAGAATTGGGAACTTTCAAAAAAGCTGAAGGGACATTTGTTACGTCAATCACTCTAGATTTCCGGCAGTTTACATAAGAACATGCTCTTTCTTTCACGTTTTCATTAATACCATACCAGCAAAATCATTCTGCGATGAGCTTAGTCGTTGCTCAAACACCTGGATTGGCAAGTCTAAGCAACGTGTTAAAGACGTCGCGTCGATAATTTTTCAATACGATCAAGCGATCCCTACTTGTGGATGTATAACAGCAAGGTTTCCTTGCCTGTTTCCATCTGTTTGACCCGTAGTTCCAGGGTTGTAGAAGATAACTCCTGCCGAAGATCAGTGTTTTGTACTTGAAGTAGAATAATTAATAAGTGCATCATGTGATTGAGTTGGCATACCTGAGCTTTTCGGGAGTTGGACGGCGCTCTTTCAAAAATATGGGTGGTCTTGTAGTCGTGATGTGGTAGGCAACATTGCTGGTTATGCATCGTAACCTTAGCCACGTTTTGAAAATTTCGGGGTACTTGTCGAGTTTTAGTGTCGGCTATTATGTTAAGCCCATATACCTTATTTTGGCTTTCGGACAGGCCAATTTAATCATTCCACTTGAGTTACATTTCGATCTTGTTAACTATTCGCTTATCAATCGTGACTGTTTTTATATGAGCGCATTATGTGTGCGCCCTTGTTATCTTATCATATGTCTGTAGCCTATTTTTGTGTGACTATAAATATTGATTAACGCTTGACTAAATGGAGTTGGCTTACCCGCCATCTCCACTGCGCGTCGTTTCGCTTCGCGCTACTCCATTCGCTTCACAAACAAAATATATGTATTCAGAAGTCCATTTTCGTTATTTGACTAGTTTAATTCCGTTATTGACTAACGCAACTTAAGTCGATGGTTACATACGAGGATAGGCGACACACATATTTCAAAAACAACCATTCATGTGATCTACTTGGAGTCAGATCTTGAGCCACTAAGGAGTATCCGTCGGTAGTATGGCTTGATTATGTGCTTGACAATGACTGGGGACAATCTAAAACCAAAAAATGAAGTTACTAACTTCCGTTTGGGAGTGTCGATTAGCAGACTATGGTGTTGTAGCAGGTTTATACCAATGGTTAGCGTGGAAACATCTGCAAAAACGAAGATCCAGTAGATGGGTTTGCGTAAACCCATGTTCGGTCGTTTGAATTCACTGGAAGAACGCTAACGACAAAGTAGCGAACTTTTGCAATTACATCTGTGATTTATGACATACGGCTATGTTCGCCGGCCACGGTTGTCGTTAACGCATGCCGGCTGGTAAGTTTCCCAAAATGTTTTTCGTGTCGATTGGTTTGGAATAGGAAAGTTGCCGGGTTTTCAGCAAGTTCGAGATTTTTCATACTGATTGTGATATCAATACCAATTAGGGTTATCTGCCTCCTGTGATGTATAGACTGATCGTTTTCGCGAAGTACTCCTTCCAGGAGTTTGGGAGCGTCTACGGTCATGACGGATGTTAAGGTAACGTGTCAGAGTATGACAAAGTTCTGAAACGTCATTTATTGTCGTTTGAGGCTTTTTATGACTGAATACATTCCGGCGTTGGAAGTTCTAGTGATCTCCAGAATACTGTCGACAGATGCAGCTAGCTCGTCTACATCGTTGTTTTGAAATGAGATAAGCACTGAATGCACTAATATGGAAATCTTAGACAGGAAGAGCTGTCAAAACAGGCCCTCATCAAAGGTCCATGGAGATAACCTCACACATAGGTAGCAACATATCGGTTACTGAGCCATGTTGAATTTCGATGTTGTGGAACAGTTCGCCTAACCTTCAGTGTGTGAAAACGTTCTGAAACATTATCAGAAAACGTACTGGATATGATATACCTGCTGAAATAGCGCGGTAGTACATTCACTACTGCCCATGGAAGTTAGCTTCCGCATAGCAGAACCAGACTTCTATATTATCTTACCAGAATGCCATGAACTGAAATGCGGGAGGCGAAAAGAGTTTAATCTTAAGTAAATTGGGTTTCTGTTCCGTCAAGATGGAGATGAAATATTCCAGTGCGCGAGAAAAAATATCCGAAAATATAAAAAACAACAGCACCATGTGTAAAAATAAAGTTAAAAAGTGATATTTAGTGTTCAAAAAAGGAATAGATTTACAGTTTATTGTTTGATGTATCAGATTACGTCAGTCTCATCACTGAAGAGGTCATAGATATTTGGAGTTTTGCAGTGATTTTACACGTAGCATCTTTATATTCGAAGAATACCAACTCATCCAAATCAGAAATAAAGGGGTTCGAAGATATATTTGAAAGACTATCGTTATGTCGAGAAGTGCTTGGTCTAAGCTAGCTAATAGTTGCAAGGAATGTGTAGCACGGCGTACTTGTTGGCACGGCTTCCGAGAATTACAATGGAGCCTCCAGAGGATCTAAAGGAGCCGAGAAGTATTTATCCAACCATTCATTTATCGCTACAATATTTTTGGTCTGAATTGTATGATGATACCAATTAGTTAACACAAGGATAGTATTTAAGGTCATATTAGTTAAATACTTATACATGACAAGAAACAAGCAGTATAATTGTATACTTTAAATGCTCTGTCACCACTTGTTTCTCTTCGTACCTAATATATTCTACTTGTTAAAATGCAGTCAGTTTATATAATAAGCTATTACCACAATTATAAAAAAGAATTTTATTGAAGTTGAGACTGGTGGAATCTAACAACAACATAGAGGCGTTCCCGTAATCCCGTAAAGAACATAGGTTCCCAAAAGACTACAGGTACCCCATGTTGCTAAGTTCCAACCAGTGTGAAACCTAAACGTGAGGCTTTCTGAAGACATCTTCCAACCACCTAATATTTGAACATGGTTAAGCCAATGTCGAGTCACTTGCACTAACATGCAAATTACAACTTAATCAGTAGAATTCGATTAGTACTAAAAAGCTTTGCGAATTCGACATCAATCACTACTTTGTGATAAATTATTTATATGCTTTTGTATGTAGTACATTCATCGACATATATTACATGACACATATTAATAGAAGAAGAAAAAATAAACAAAAATTTAGATTCACACTGATGGCTACTATTGACAATGTACAGATATTCATTGTGAAATCAAAACTTGTAGCTTTCACTATAATCATGAAAAGATATGGGAGAATGAAAGAAAAATTTTCATTCATTGCTTCTTGCAGATAATTTCATCAAACTTTTAAATTACAATTGAATCTTGGGATTCAATAGTATTACTATCGTTGAAATTAATTAATAATTTATCTTCATACATGTACAACTGAAATGAAATTAATCACTATTGTAGACATTTATGATGATCAAAGTTTTTGTTAAAGACGAAATTATTGTTAACGTATTCGAAACGTAACTCTCTCAACGGCCAGTGGACATATATAAACATATACTGGAATTCAAGATCAAATGGAAAAAAGTGAGTTAATTTAAGCAATTATGAACGATTCCTACTCATTAAGAATAATCGATTATTTGAGCATAAATACAGTAGACATCGAAACCATCAGTATAGACCATTATGTCTGACCCCGCAGCTTTCCGGAGAAAGCCATTAAATTTTCGGTAAAAATTATTTCCAAATGTATCTCACCCGCAATCAATGAGGATGTAGGCTAAAACGGTGTGGTGGTGGCAGAGTATATTACTATTTATCTAAGTTCATGGTGTCCCATCGAGAAGGATAACACATAGTTAACTATCGATAAGAATACGGTCAATAAGTGTATGAACTGTTTTCAGACTTAGAGCTATACCTACAAAGCCAAGACCACGAGAAATTGCTGTCGCATCTCCAGATACACGCGATAGGTCTCCACACAGGCTAAGTGAATTCAAGTGAATTACCGTGATAGAATTTTGTATTTGTGTTACGAAGAAACACTATAAAAACATGGGACAAGTCTCTCGTATCTTAGTTAGTAATCCCTGTCGTCCAGTTTGACACATGATCCAGATATTAGAAAATCCAAAATATTATTCTGAAGAGTAGTTTCACAACGTTTCAAAAACTTGCATCGTTAGTTCCTGTGAGGAATGTAGAACAATTTAAAGACAAAAGATGAAGATTGATGGTGAGAATAACAGTAATATTTAGTGATGAAAATGAGGTTCACACTTATCTCTATCTTAAATTCAGTTTGAAATAAATTTAACGCTCTTCAGCGTATTATAAAATAAATCAGTATATATTTAACAAATAAACTATCTACAATCGTTTATGAACTTTACCTACTTTGAAATATCTCTCTTTTCCACATAATAATAAGTTTAAACAACAACAGATATCCAATAAATGAGACCTTTATATAATGAATGTGCTTTTATAACCGTGTAATTAGAAGTCCAATAACCATCTTTGTTAAAACGAGATTCAGCACTTTTCAGTAAATCAAAGCTAATTTGAAAAGAATTAAGAAAATACGAACATTACTAAATGATTGATGAATATCTGCCATCAAGAATTCGAAATAGTTAAACTTATACTAAAAAGAGATTTTGACATAAATAAACCGAGCAAATCACTAGTAAGACGACCAATTTACTAGAATTAATTAAAATAATAAAAGCATGAAGTAATGTGGTAATTATTTTTAAAGTCGAAATAGATCTTTCAGTAAACTCAGTCGAATCGTACATTAAAACTGTGATCTCTTCACGTCTTCGATGTTAAACAAGCTTAATGTTTACTTGATCGTTTCGACAGACCATGGCTTCTCATTACAGTATCACGAAATCTATTTCATAAGGACTTACTTATGGATACTTGCTTATCATTTACTTTTATATATCAAGTGATTCATTTGTTTGAGAATATTTAACAGTATGGAAAGATAATGTAACAAACAAATGATATAGTTCTTACCAAGGGACCTTTAGGCTAAGAATTCAGCTTTATTTGAAGTAATAAATTCTGTCTGACATACAAATGTGATCAATCACTTAATATAATAGTATCTAAACAAATAATTTTCGCAGGTACGAAAGTCAGTCAGTGCCTTACATAACATTTCATATGAAAACATAAATTTGACTCACTGTTTGTAAAGTTGTGATTCAAAAGATATAAAAAAATCTAAAGAAAAGACATCACCCTACAAACAAAATACAAACACACCGCATTTGATTGGGTTCATTTCGTAAATCCCTTTTATGCTTCAGCATAATGTAGCGACCGATTTCCTCTGGATAGCGCACAACACTGTAGTTGTAATAGATGATTCTCTTATAAAAATCATCATCTTCTCCTCCCCAACCATAGTAAAAATTTGAAAAACCACCAACATTCATGAATTGTTGACGGCTGATTGCAATTACACCTCCAAAATTTTCCTGATAAATCAGTCTTGAAGTATAAGAGGTTGTAAAGAAAACAAACACTAACTAGAAAATCAGATGAATGATCAACAGTAAATCTTGAAATCATTTCCACAATGTTTAACTAAGATCATGTTTGGGGAAAATTTGGAGAGTTTCAGCTGCTATCTGGAAAGTGATTCATTGACCTGTAAGCAGTAGGTTGGCAGTCATATTTGTGTTGCAGTTATAATAGTAATCATTGGAAGGCTTAATCAAGTTAAAAAGAGATGTTTTCGGTTAACCATATTATCTTCACGGATAAGTCTTAACTGTTAGTGAATTGTTTGATTATTATTCTTTAAATTAACCAACTTTCCTAACAGCTCAGTTACTTTGCCTACACTACCGAAAGTTGGAACAACTTAGCAATTAGTCGTAGTGCTGTAAAAGTGATTAATAAAACTATGAGTCATTATCAGCTGGAGTTGTGGCGCTTGTTAAGTTAGTAACCTTCCACCTTCTATACAGTGGTTAATAACTTAGGAATAAGTTGATAAAAGAGTAAATTAGAGTGCTAATAAAGATATGGTATCATCCGCATAAATTACAAACTGTTACTTTGACCTGTACCAGAAAGTGAAAACTTCGTTTTTTAATTTTTTAAAGTAGCAATATTCCATGGTACATAAGTACATTTAATAAGAGTATAATTAATTGCGTTAGACGAACGGTCGTAGTCAATAGAGAAACAAACACCTACGTTGCTTGTCATTAGGTACTCAATAGAGTATACCTCTAAACTTGGGGGAACTAACGTTCCCAGTGAAATTACAATTACAATTAGTTTTACAGTTTTAGATATTATCACTGAACTTTTTAAACCGCAACTTTCCTCCTTCAAAAGCAAGATATTTAGGCTAATTCATCCCTGAGTAGTTACCTAAGTCATATTAGTCTATTCCTCATTATTAATTTTTACTGTCGACTACCTACAATCACCTAATATCTAAATATAGTGCACACGATGTCGAGCCGCTCACGCTAGAAGCATTTTGCAACTGAAATGAATGAATTTGCTATGCAGTAAATAATTAGATAATTATAACATTTGACACCACTCATTGATTGATCAATTTTAAATAATCAACCATCATGTCGTCGTTTGATCAATCTCAGAAATTCACTTGTATTCCATAAATTATTGTTCTTTTACCTACAAAAACCAACAAGCCCATACATGATAATGAGAGAAGTGATTCGGATAAGAACATTACAAATTTGAATCAATCATCAGTCAGAATAAACATATTATCATTTACACTCTAAAAATATTTTACCCACCGATAATTATATTGATCTATCAAAACACTTAAATGTCTTGGTTGTTCAGAACATCGATATATATTTCTATCATCTTCTGGCAATAAATCCACATCGTGAAATATGAAACAATCGAAATCTGCAACTCGATGGGATTCAATGAATCCGGCATTCAATAGTAATGCACGATTAAATGTAGATGTACCTTCCTGAAAAGCAGTCACACAAAAATTATTGTGTACCATGAAAAAAAAAACAAAATTTAATACACTTTAGCAAAATTATAACGATAGTTCATTGGTATATTACATAATTTTAACATGTGTAAAATAGTACCCAGTAAAATTCTGGTAATATCTATAGGTATAAACATATTGGGAACAGTAAAACACGATTTATTCGAAATATCGATTTCTTTATGTTCAGTGTATGGCAGCAATAGTAAGTCAAGGTGGGCATGCAATCTACTTGAACTTAAAAACGTCATTGTATCAGATAACTAATCATGATAAAGACAAATACGTCAAGTGTTACATCATTAAAGTGAAAACTTTAAACATCTCATGTAATTTATACAAATATTCGTCAAGATTAGAACAAATAGTTTGACAGAAATTGGGTGCCGAGTATGAAGAAGTCATTATATGTGAAAATTATATTTGAAATAATCTCAGCGATTGAAATTTAAATAATTCCAAAGTTTCGTCCAGATAATTTGTCTGGTCTAGCTTCAACTGACTCATGATCTTAAGCATTGAAATTACTACAATCTCCACAAAACCCTTTCTGATATTATTATTTATTTTAACACATAGATATTGGTACAATGAGGCAACAAATATATATGCGCCACACAAATCTCATTTGATATGTGTGAGGGCTGTGATACTGCCCGGGTGCCCAAACTGAAGCAGGTGGTTTTCTTAGGGGGCCACACCCCGAGCCTTCGACCTGGACGTCTGACCCACAAGGCAGTAGAGCATCATGAGGAGATGCAGTCCCATGGTAGCTGGTGACCAACGATTGGTTCATACTCCATTAGTTCGTTCAGGATACTGGAGCTAGTCCATGTGCACCATTGGTTTGGGATCCGGTTAAAGCCACCGACATTTGCTTTTCGTCCTTTCATTTTCGTAAACAACACCCTCGCCACGAGAAGGCAGTGAGTAGGACTTCCCTGGTAGAGGCTATATATGCGTGGCCATGTGAGGGCATTTCGAGAGGGAGAGCGGACTCTCCCTACTCTCGGCCGTACCAGGGCATTTGGGGGCTATTGTAGTGAACGAGAATACTAGTAAGGATAACCAAATGCATTCGAGTAAAAAATTAAAGTATCACTTAGTAAAATCTGAGAACTATACAAGAAATACTTCATTTGCAAAATGTCAATCATTTGTTTCAAACTTCATTATTCCTTCGTTTCCACACCAATCGTTCCTTGTTCTATTTCTCTTTAATTCGATCTTCACCTTCTGCCAGGTACTTCATTTTTGATTGATCATACATACTACTTATATCTATCGACATCAGTAGCACACAACACAATATCATAGTTTATTCAATCAATGTTTTTGAAAGAAACAATCTTATAATTTTCAATCGGAAGTCACTTTAACAAATGCGAAAGCTAGAACTATCAACTACTGAAGGGATGAACAAATTCATGAAGTATAAAACGTAATTGATAGAGAGAATCATACTCATAAATAATAATATCTATTGAACAAATCATATATATCTTTATAACATACAAGCTTACTTGGTTGATCACAAATATCGTATACATTAATTGTTGTCTTCTCAAAAATTCATGCATATGTTTTACAAACAGACGTAAATGTAAATCTCGATTTCGATAAGGAACAATGATAGCCAATTTTTCATCTGGTTTACAATCAGTCGGACTCCAAAGTCCGATATCCCTTTTTAACATACTATTAGTCTTTATTAATTTAAAAAACGTTTTGTGAACCGAAGTTGTCGATGACGTTATATCACTTGAAAAAGTATATAATTGTACTAAATGAGACCAAGTTGGCGCTTCTATGGTGATGCTTGTACGTCCATCTAAAGAGTTAGTGTAAAAAAATAGTAAAAGATTTAAAACAAACTTAAAATCATCAATATTCGTGGCAAAATCTTGTTCAATTAGATTATTTTAAAATAAGCACTGTCACTCAAGAGAGAGAGAGAGGGAGGGAGGGTAAGAAAGAATGGCAATTTTTTTTTCATACATCTAAGAAATGCATATAGATAGTTTACATTAGAATGTAAACAATATCTATTATCAATAATGAATCCATTGTGATCTCTTCGGAGATAAAACCAATTTTTAACCATAAAAATTCAATTATTAATGATAAGTTCAATTGTTCGATTTCTGTAAAACAATAGATTATTTTCATTAATAACTCGAATACATAGAGTAGTTAAATTATTACAAATTATATGACTCAATATATAAGTTCATAGATTAATAAACTATTATCATTGCTTACTTGGATTTGGATTATATTTCGGGCAATCCTATAATAGGAATATATCAACAATAACAACAACAACAACAACAAAAGGTAGATAAATAATTAAGAAGCATTTAACAAACAAACTGTAATAATCAATATAATCTTGGTATTTATGATCAATTACACTGTTAAAAATGATTACACAAACATTAATTATACGGGTTATCATTTCTAAAAGTTGTTTATTTATTAAATAGTTAATTAATCTAATTGATAGTTCGATCAGAATAATAAACGTTAGAGGTTACAAATTTGCATTTTATCGACTTTTAAAAGAGTTTATATATAAATGAATTACGAACTGAAAGTAGAGTTAGCTATCACCAAGAACGAAAGTCGAATAAAGACGAATTGAAAACCTATTATGGGATTCTTTAGCATCCACGACCTCGTCTCGAGAGATTCGAACCGAAGACCTATCGGTTTCGCGGGTGAACGCTTAACCACTAGATCACTGAGCTGGCATCCAACGATGTTAATGTCTAACTTCAAATAATCTACGGAATTGAGCTACATATCCACCAAAAAAATAGTGCATAAACCTTCTATCAGGCAAGAACTTTTCAGTAGTGTGCAATTACAACATTGTATGGTATACAAACCAAGATTACATAACTAGCAAGATATTCTAAGACGACATTGTATTAGAATTCAGTAATATACATTTCTAACTTAAGTGAGTTCATAATATAGAGTGAAAATTATTCAAATACAATCTGAATTTTTACAATGAAATCATGAGTCAATTAAAGCTAGACTACCACAGCAAACCTAAAAAACACTGAATGACCGTTTCATCCTATTGTGAGACTCCTCAATAGTATACACCAACAATCCTGTCTCATGAGATTCATACCCAGAACTTATCGGTCTCGCACTCAAATAATTAATCTCTAGTAGTATGATAAATGAAAGATAAATTATTATTCAAAAATTTACACATTAACTTACAGGAATAAAGTTTTTTAAATTTTCAATTGGATTATTTGAAAAAATCTGTATTGAATATTTATCAATAGTTTCTATATAAAATTGAAAATCCATATTCCATAAACTAATTACAATGATACATAGAAATAAAATAAATAGCCATTTATTGAAAATTCTCCTATTTAATTTCATTATTATCTGTATACATCCACTTTGGATATAATAGTTTATGTATAGATTTTGATTTAATGAATCTAAGAGAGAAAATATAATTCAATTGAATTGATCTTTATAGAAAAAGTATCATAATTATTTACATAAAATAATCATCAATTGAATGATGGTAAAATTACTACTTAAATATAAAACATAATATCTATGTTTTAAATTATCTGAATATTCTTTCTTTCAGTGAGACATAAATAATATAGAACATGTTAGTCGCTGATCGGATAACTCAATAGTGACATCTTTGACTATGAAGTTCGGTGACAAAGGATCAAATCCGTCAAGGAGCATCAATTCCTTCAAGATTACAGGTACATCTTGCTGATGGGTGCCAAGTAGCAAGAAACATAATATTTATATTCCAAATTATCTGAATATTATTTTTTTGAGTGTAACATATATAGATCAGAAAGAAATGAATCATGGATTTCTAATTTCTAATAAATAGCATATCAGTCGAGGCGCGGATAGCTTAATGGTAACTTCTTTGACTATGAAGCTGGGTGACACAAGATCAAATCCGTTAAGGAATACCAATTCCCTCAGGATTATAGGTACATCTTGTTGACGAGTGTCAAGTTGCACGAAACCTAGGTTCACAGTTTCCTGTTGACTAACTTATCTTATCTCAACATAGTGCACGCAATATCAAGTCACATAGACTGGCGGCTAAATTGCAACTTGGTCAATAGTATTCGATCTTTACTAAGAAGGACCTGACATACATGAGATTGATCACCACCCGGTGACCAATTAATTGTAAATACATCTCAATCCTACAGGATCTAAACTCAGTGGTAACGTCTCTGACTGTAAAGCTGGGTGACAAGGGATCGAATCCGTCAAGGAGCATCAATTCCCTCAAGATTACAGGTACAGCTTGCTGATGGGTGCCAAGTTGCGCGAAAATTATGTTCGGAGTTTCCTGTTGACTAGCTTCAACCACTATCTTATGTCATAATCGTATCCTGATACATCACTGTAACTTGTTTTTGTAAAGAATAGACTTTTCTTGAAAGTTTTTAATCAAGTATAGATAATGGAAAGAGTATGAGTTAATTAAGAATGAATCTGTTCAATTAATATTGTGTATCGTTTAACTATGAATTAAAACAATAAAAAACTGTAATAGGACATTTAAAGCAAGAAAATACTATATAAAAGAAATTTTTAATGTTAATTCTATCAAATATGAAGTAATGAATAAACATTATGATGTAATAAAACATTTCTCATACTAAATTAAATGTAATTGCATAACAAACTTACTGAAAAAACAACTAAATTTTGTTCATTTAATGTGTCATATTTAACCCTAAACAGTAATAATCATAATAATATGCCCACTAGTGGCTTATATCTGGTGGTAATTCCTTGAGCTCTAATGAAAAACTGTGACCAATGAGCTCTAGCCCTACTGAATGTGAACCAATTATCTAGCAACTATATTGAAAGATGAAGATAAGAGTTCACGTGTGAGACCGAAGTTCCTAGTTCGAGTCTTGAGTGCATGATCGCGGACGCGCACGTATAAAAGGACCTGTCCAGTGCTTCCAGGTTTCCAATGGTGGTCTAGCTTCGATTGACTAGTGAATTCGGCTGTTGAGATACTACAGTATCCATGAACCCCCATATTGACAATTGATGGTGATTTCAAAAAGTACAAATGATCAGTCTCAATAGAAAAAACATTACGAAATCCGATATTTGAAAACTAAACTTTGCTTACTAATCTCAAGTGAGTAATTCCTTTTCCAGTATTTCGTATAATATAAATTTCCATCGCTTTCACTATAAAGTGTCATTATGTGACAGTCACTGAAGATCGGTAAACAATAAACAAGGAAATGGACGGTGGCTAGCGGTGGAATCCAGAACATCCATCTCTGTTTACAGTGCTTGTGACTTGTTGGAAATATCGGAGTAATCCACACAGGATGCAAATATGTTAATAAGAGACTGATCAATTGAAGTTCAAAAATCAATGGGAGGATTTAAACAACCGAAACAAAAATGAAATAAACATTGAGATTATTTTGTGGTACACACCGGGGACCTCCAAATAAAATCAACTCACGAACTTTAGGTATCATGGAAAGAATATTACTAAGCTATAGAATCAGTATTCAACAGTTTTCATTTTCACACACATAAACTCTTTCATCTAGACTAATGCACTGACAGCTGCATCATATTCAAGTTAGATGAATTTACATGCAGCTAATCATGATTTCAACATCAACTTATACATCTTTACGAAAAATGGTGGTTCGCACACAATCTTTGTCCACTGAGACGATCTAGTATGTATCTATTCAATTTGAACATATGTTTCACTGTTGATAGACATAAACCAGATCAATGATCTATATGTCCACTGAGAGATCCTGAAATTTCTATCTGAATAGGGAAAGCTTGTAATATTGAAGTTGAAGCAGAACAGCTATCAAATCTTCCAGGCTCTTAAAACATTACCCAGCTGTCTATTTTGTCACAAATGTCACTTTCCAGAGGCACGAAATCTCTACAAGTCAACACCAGTAAAACGTTGTGATGTAGTCATTATTTCACACCGAATCGATGACCAGAAATCAGTAGAAGAAGGTCTATCAATCTATGCAGTATGTAAATACTTCACTTTATTTAAATGTTAGCCATTTGCGAGAAATCAAAAATTACATTATCATCATACAATATTTCTATCAATGAGACATAAAGAATACATTACAAGCGTCATCTCACTTCAACATTACTTACCGTTAATGAAGGAAGTTAAAACAGAGTGCTATGATCGTGACACTTTGTTCGGTAGTGTAAATATTTATGAGGACAAGGTAAATTAGAAGCTTATAACACCCTTTACATTCCCAGTACACCAATAAAATTTGTTTTACGGCAAGCATTTCACAGAAGTATTTGATTGGGTGTCATAAAACACAAACTATTATTTCTTTAAGCTAAATAGTATTTTTTTCTTTTGACCACAAATAACTTTGTGTTAAACAGTGAAGTAGAACCTAAATATTTCAAGAATAACGTGTTGTTATGCAATTCCGAAAACACAGAGGATTTCAGGAATCATCTATATTTATATGGAGATGCTAAGATAGATTCCATCTGCAATCATTTATGAGATGAAAACACTGCACATTTGTCTTAGCTGGGGACGAGATAGTAATTATAGATTAATATCCTGATTAATTCTGTATAATTTTATAACAATGGTTCAATTATAACGAACAAGAAGCCGCGGAATGAGTAGAGCAATACATTCATTAAAACCGCACAAAATACTTCACTCTAGACTTCATATATATTAAGTAGAATGTTCTCGTAAAAAAACATTACAATACCCATGTAAATACTAAGTACAGATCAAATGGGCTTACTTACTTACTTACGCCTGTTACTCCTCGTGGAGGAGCATAGGACGCTCACCAGCATTCGCCATCCAACCTGGTCATGGGCAATCCTTTCTAGCTCTCTCCAGTTGTTATTCATCCTTTTCATATCTGCTTCTATTTCCCGAAGTAATGTGTTATTTGGCCTTCCACTTTTCCGCTTTCCTTCAGGATTCCAAGTTAGCGCTTGCCTTGTGATGCTGTTTGATGATTTCTTCAATGTATGTCCTATCCATTTCTATCGTCTTTTCCTAATTTCCTCTTCAGCTGGAAGTTGGTTTGTTCTCTCCCACAGAAGGCTGTTGCTGATGGTATCCGACCAATGGATGTTGAGTATCTTGCGTAGACGGCTATTGATAAATACCTGTACCTTCTTGATGATGGTTGTAGTGGTTCTACAAGTTTCAGCTCCGTACAGTAGAACTGTCTTGACGTTCGTATTGAAGATTCTGACTTTGATATTGGTTGAAAGTTGCTTTGAGTTTCATATGTTCTTCAATTGAAGGAATGCCGCCCTTGCTTTGCTAATCCTCGCCTTCACATATGCATCTGAACCTCCTTGTTCATCGATAATGCTTCCCAGGTATAAGAAGGATTATACATCTTCCAGAGTTTCGCCATCAAGAGTGATTGGTTTGTTGTTCTTCGTATGGTATTTGAGGACCTCGGTTTTCCTCTTTTATATGTTGAGGTCTACTGATGCAGAGACTAATGCTACACTGGCTGTCTTTATCTGCATTTGTTCGTGTGTATGCGATAGGAGGGATAGGTCATCTACAAAGCCCAAATCGTCTAATTGGTTCTAAACTGTCTATTGTATTCCGTGCTTCTCGTCAGATGTGGGGGAATACTGTTCCGCCCATAGTCAAGTTGCTGAATGCACATAAGTTTGCAAATCTCTCACCATTCTTGTTCCTTTCTTCCAACCCATGTCGTTCCATGATATCCTCATATCCGTTGTTGAACATTCCGACTTTAGCGTTTAGGTCTCCCGTCAGGATGGTGAGATCCTTTGTTGGGCACCTAGCTATGATCGATTGTAGCCTCTAGCAAAACTGTCATTGTTGGGTGCATAACACTGGATAACATTCATTGTGATTCCATCTTTCTTTGTTTTGAATGATGCTTTGATGATCCCGGATACGTGATATTCCCATCCTATAAGTGCATTAAATGCCTCTTCGGATAACATCCATGGGTGTGTGGAGCATTTTCCTCTTCGGGATCAGAGTACAGCAGCATCTTTACCGTACCTAGCCTTTGCTATCTAGATTGATTCCAAATGTGTTTCATTGATCCCGAGTACTAACAAGTTATATCTTCCCATTTCCGTTGCTATTCGACTGATCCTCCCGGTCTCCCACATTGTTCAGACGTTCCATGTACCTATAAAAATTGTGACACTGGTTGTTGAGAGGGATATCGGCCTCATGATTTCCGTCGAATACTAGCCTTAATCGTGAGGCGTCATAATTCTTCCTTGAACTCGGAGGGCAGTTTAAATGGTGGAATGAAGCACTGTTTTTTAAAAAAAAACAATACGATTGTAGTGAAGGAGAGTACAATTGGGGACAATCGAATGTATTTCAATACAAAATTACAGAATCACTTAGTAAAATATAAGAACCATATAGTAATTTCTTCATTTGCATTATGTCAATAGATTGTCTCAGACTTTATCGTTTCTTCGATTCCATACCAATCATTCTCTGTTCTCATTCTTTTCTCATTCATCTTCTTAATCTTCTACCACCAGGTATTTCACTTTCAATGAATAATACATACTACTTATATCTGTTGACATCAGTAGCATACATCACAATCTAATGAAATAAATTCATTATATTTTATAAATTTTAATATAAATCTTGTTATATCATTATATTGAAGAAAATCATATGACTTAGATGAAAAATAATATTGATTTTTATTTATTTATCAATTAAGTTAATTCTTATTTAAATTTTTATTTGACTCGAGTTGACAACTAACATTCTCTAAACTTCGGATAAAAAAAAAATCCCGTAAATGAAAATTAAAATTATTGTTAAATTTATTCAAAAATTAATTTATTTTCCATTAGTATATTGAAAAACAGCAATAATAAAACTTAAGTAAATATGAGGCAATCAAATCTGTTGAATGAATCTTTTCAAGATCAGATCTCTTTAAAATAAATAAATAAATCAATAAATAAACAAATAACTTGAATAATATCATCAATAATATACAATATGAATGAATTACACTCAACTACAATTGATGTTAAACAATATCAAATTAAAACTATCAATAAAATAGATACTAATCAATTAAATTTAAAAACTAAAAATGAAATCAATCAATATTATTCAATTATATTTGATTCATATATACAATATAATGAATTATTATCAATCAATAAAGTAATTATATTCAATTTACAATACCCTAAAATACAAACTAATAAACGATTATTAAATATTTTACAAAATTTTTTATTAATTTTCACCTTTTTACAATTTTGTATAATTATTTATTTAATTAATCAATATGATATATATCTAAGATTAAGATCACCATTAAATGATTTACCAAATTATACAGCTACACGAATACCATGGATACCTGAACAATATAAATTAAAAAATCAAATGATTACAATTTGGTGGTCAATTTTTATGATTTATATTCCAATAGTGATAATATTTTGTAGATATTACTTAGAGTTTAATGATAATGAGTAAGTAGTATCTTATTTTATTAACTTTTTATAGTATAAGTGGTGATTGGATGAACTAATCAAATATACGATAATAGATCTCGGATTTTGGCGTGAAATTCATTCATCTATTTGACTAAATAGAGTTTTGGGATTATAGATGATGTTAGTTAGTGATGAGAACTCTAAATCTAATTCCTAAACTTAATCATCAACTATAAATCATAATTCTAATTCTTCACACTGGTTTATAACCCTCATTTGGTCCTAGTTATTAGGTGAATTAAATCAATATCGAGGCAATGCACACGGGATGCACATATGCCAATATGAGACTGATCAACTGCAGTCCTAAACATTAATGGGAAGATTCGAGTAAACAATACCAAGTCAATTTAAACTTCACCCCATTGCACAAGTAAGTTGGCAATCACGAATTAGTTGCTAAGTGGACAAAGCGATGGTGTTTGAAGCAGATGGTAGTGAATTCGAGGCACAGAGTGAACATGAACTCCGAGATGCAAGCACGCGCAGCAGACGTGTCCCAAGCAGGACGAAATATGCGTCCTGGATTCCACTGCTAGCCATCATCTATCTCTGACTAAAATTCTCAACATTAAGCTAGAAATTTATGTTTGTATAACTAATCGAGTTTTATGAGTTGTCCTACTCTTTATTCTTAATTCTTTCGAATCAAATGTCTCTAATTAAATTTTTATGATATAAATATACAACTTCTAAACAAGATGCATCGGACGCATGAAACAGACACTTGGTTAAAACCAACCGCACTACTCATTTCCAAATAATGATATTTATGAATACAGTGACACTAATTTTAGGCGTTTTACTAAGTGTTAGTAGGTTGATTTACGAAACTAAAGTAAATACTTGGTTAATAATAGGAGGAATGCTGTTCAAAATGGTTGTACATTCTAGTTCAGTATGATTGATCATAACAACTGATTGTTAACAACCATCATTTACAAATGGATCTATAGTCAGTGATTCATCTTTAAAACTATGTACTGTAATCACCATCTATCATGATTTATCTTTTGCAAGGTTTAATTATTGTTCTTAGTAAGAAAGCTTCACAAGTAACCTAAAAGTATATCACTTCAAAAGGTTTATAGATATTTTCCGAGTTAATTCTTAACACTGAATATCGTTATGTAGGGTGAGGTCAACTACCACTTCTTAGAGAACACTATGCATCTCTCTCTAGCTGAAATCTTTATTGATAAGGATTAACTTTAAATTTAACATTCTTCACAAATCAAATATGTTTGTATACTCCATTCACTTATTGTATGTTTTATTCATTTAATGAAGTGTTAACCTTTAGAAACTGTTTTAAACAAGTTATACTCACGTTTAATATAACTTAATGTACACTTATTATTTTTTTAGACTTAACAAAGTAAAGGATAAATGGATAATGAAAGAAGATACACAACAATGTCAGTCAGAACAATCTTATAAGATGATAGTATCTGGTAAAAAATTTCGTCAACTCATACCAGTCTGTTGTTTTACGACAAGTATATTTTTATGGTTATTCTATCTTATAGGATTTTATAGTAAGTTAATAAACATGAGTATTAAAAGTGGTTTTATGAAAATTGTAGTAATTTCAATAGTTATGATCATGAGTCAATTGAAGCTAGACCACTATGGAAAATCTGAAACCACTGTACGGCCGTCTCGTTCTATTGTTGCAATCTTCAGCAGTTGACTAGTGATCTCAACTAATAAACATTAATTATTCTATAATTTACTATTACCAAGTAATAATATTAATAGTATTGATTTGTACATTAATTTATCAATGAAAAATTAAGAACAAAGATGGGACATTACCTAATCAATTACATATAGATGTCAGAAAAACAACAAAAACAAAATAGAAGATTAAGAATAATTTCGTATTGTGTATTAACATATTTTACGTTTGTATGAAATAAAGGAGGCAATAGATGAACATTACTAAATTAAACCTTTTTGAGCGAATATATCCTTTGAAATCAGTATCTATAGTCACTTATTAATTGCTAATTTAGATGAATTGAGCATTTAAAATTAAGTTTAAAGGTTGTCTGCAAATACAGAAGATTTGTAATTTAGATTTACTACATAATGAAAATATTAGTCAAGAGTTTTTTCTCTATACTTACATGACAATAGACCCTAAAAGACATATAATAGACTACATTCAGTAAACCTTACTTATTATTTTCATGGATTGGTTGAAGATGGACATTAACATGATTGGATGACAACTCAGTGTTCTAAGCAATCACGTGCGAAACGGATAAGTCCTGGGTTCGAGTCCCACGAATGGGATTGTGGATGCCTACTGTTATGGAGTCCTATACTATGACAAAATGGTCGTCCAATGCTTCCAGGGTTTTTTATGATAGTCTAGCTTGAATTGATTCATGATATCAAATTATATCTATAACTAAAAAGTTCATCTTCTAATTTTCTATGTATCTTTCTTTTACAAGACTGTTTATATTTTATTCATTACAATTATTGGCGAAAAATAATACATAATTGGCTTTATCAATTACAAAGTTTCTATTTATTAAATTTAAATAAATCACCTAATGAAATCTTGCAAATATCATCATTAAAAACTTATCATCTACTAGATGATGGTGAGAATTCATTTTTGATCATTGATATTATTCAAAATATGTTTGAATGTTGTGGAATTGATAAAGGGTATATGGATTGGGTATCTAATCATATGAAAAGACCATATTTGTATACTTATCAAAATTTGATGAGGTAAGATTGATATGTTTATAAACTTTTAATTAGGTAACTATCAACTAATCATTTTATTTTAAGCATATAATTCAGATCATTTGAATGAGAGATGCAACTTTTTGATTAATATCTTTAAAATAACAACAACAAAAAAATAACCTTAACGACAATTGACAACCTATGTTACAATCGATCACAGTGACATGGAAAATTTATATCATTATTACTATTAATAATGGCTTTATTCAATATTATATTTTGATGCAAAATAGAATTCTCAGCACAAGGTATTTCAACAAGTTTCTTTTACAAAAAATAAAAAAAAGGAAAGGAAAAAAGGTTAAAAAAAAATCTGAAAAACTGTATAACTTTCCAAATTAGAGACATGTTAAGAATGAAAGTTATTGACTAGGTTAACTCTAACAACCTTTTCGTCACAGAGTATATTTACTAAATAAGGTATTATAGGACTTATATACTTTTACGTGCGTGCATGGGTTTTAATGTAATTTCGTCTCGTTCTACCAGAAGATATACAAAGAGAAAGATATGAGTAAAAATGGATGGTTAGTATCTGATAATATAACACCTGCCAGTAGTTTGCATGACTTTAGATGTCTATGCACAACCATATTAATTATGACCTCCAAAGATTCACCACACAACTTGCTAACTGCCTTTAGTACTCTCCGCAATACAGCAAAGTCTTTTCTCAAAAGCCCGGGAAAGAATAATGAAGAACAGTAAAGAATAACAGGTATTCTGCAGGAATTGCCAAATTGTAGAAGTAAATGATGAGTAATCCCAAAAGCATACAGTCTCTTTATGTAGTAAGTCAGACGGAAAACTTTCTTCGATAACAATAAAACGTGAGAAGACCAAGAAAGATCATAGGAAAAAGTAACATCAAGATAAATGACCTTCGAAACTGTGTTTATCAAAGAGCCAGTGTCATGTTATGTATTATCTTGATAGATTACTAAAACTTTCTTTTTCTGAATTATTATGAAATATGGTAAACTAAACCTACATACTATGTTCTATTTACTAACTAGTTAGATTTAGTCTTTATTTTTATGTTAAATATTAATATTTCAAATGTCAATCATCCACTCTTTCTTAAATCTATGTACACTCAAGATATTTTAGGATTTTAATTGTGTTTAATTATGTGTAAAAGTATAATAATACGAATAAGCCTTAAAAAAGAACCATAACAAATTTTCAGCTCGTTACTAGCCCACCAGAAAATAGCCTTTATTAATGGATAGTTTACAGAAAGAACAATAATCTTGAAAAGTATAAACAGATTACTCTGGTTGTAAATCGAAGCACTAATGAAATATAAACTTATTCTAATAGACGTAAATATTCTTTCTTCGAGAATTCTTAAAATGATCTAAACAGATCTTATGGAGTCTCTACATTGTCTTTGGTTAGACTTAGGTATTTAGGGTTAAGATTGATAGTTTATGGTTAGGGTAATCATCCATAAATGAGTTTAGTTATAATGTAAAAATGTTCCATAGCCATTTGAATGAATGAATTTTGCTCAAAAATATTAGAGGCGCTATCTGATTACTCCATTCATAAAATAAAACCCTAATAAGTTAAGGCTTATTTCAAAATTAAGTGTTTTCTTTTTATTAAGACTTAGAGATAGTGTTAATCTGGCTATTGTGTACAGTTGAATTTTTATTGAGATTACGAACCGAATAATGTTAGATAGGCATTGGAAACCTGAAAGCACTGGACAGGCCTCTTCGTCCTAGTATGAGACTACTCAACGGCCTCATACGTTGGATTCGAACCCAGAAAATTCGGTCTTGCGTGAACTATTAACCTTTAAACCGCTAAGCCGGCATTTAAAGGCTTTAATGTCTGATTTCAATCAGTCTACAGTATTGAGCGACCATCTTCGATTGTCTTCGGTAGGTAACTAACTACCTCACACTCGACACTATCGAACTCCACTGTTCACAACTATTCATTGGAACTCCGAAGACTACCCCTCGAAGTTATTCACTAGTGGGTACATGATCTCAATACTGATATAAGTTTGATACGTTTAATACTATAATTTTCACTCTATTGTTGGAAAAGAAAAAACAACTTTTCCCTGTTATATTAAACGTTGTATACAAAGGTATTTTTGCTGTTTATTTAACATAATATTTGAATTTCACAGAAAAGCCTAAGAGTTACATACACTATTTCCATTCGCTCATCCCTATACTACACTTACACACAATATTGTTTCTTCACTTTAAACATTCATCAATTGGTATCAAATGGTTTGTAGGTCGATTACTAAAATTAAAACAAATTACTTTTCATAGATTTTTTCGAAAGTTATCAAGTGAAATATTAAAACAATAATCATGTACTTTTGTTAGATTTGCACAGAAACACAATAGTATGAGTAATATGTATATAAAAATATTTCCCCTAGATTGTGCTTGTATTGTGAAATGTCGGATCATATTTTGCATTACAAATAAATTAAGTAGAATATTTTTAATCGATATTTGGTGGTACAAATGATATCCAATTATTATTATTGTTCATAGGTACTCGCTTACTGACTTACGCTTGTTACTCCTCGTGGAGGAACATAGGTCTTTAACCAGCATTCTCCATCAAACTCTGCATTGAACAATCCTTTACAGTTGTTTCCAATTGTTATTCATTCTTTTCATGTTTGCTTTCAATTCCCGATGCAGTGTGTTCTTTGGCCTTCGGGATTCCAAGTTAGCGCTTGTTTCGTGAAGTATTTTGGTGATTTCCACAATGTATGTCCTATCCACTTCCAGCATCTTTTCCTATGTAATCTGATATGGATAATTTGACCGTGAAGCTTTTAGTATCCCTCTGAACAACATTATTAGGACATAGTTTAAGGAAGATTATTGAAATTTTTCTACAGCGATTAATAGCTTGTTCTGTTGGTTTGAGGCTTAGTAGGTTTTTATCCATAACTTTGAAACCATTGTAAGATAAGAGGTTAAGTCAGTGGAGGAATTAGTTTAAACAAGTATGAAAACATTGGCCTCAAAGTTATGGAAAACAGCCAGCCAAATTTTACTTTAACAGAACGAGCTGTTAGTCAGTTGAAGAGAAATTCCAATATCTTACTCCTGTTTGGAATATATGAAAGTGATGTTGTTTTGAAAGAAAATGGAAGCTTATAACTAATTGAAACAGCTCATTGAACCTCGAACCTCTAAAAATTGTTACATCTTATAGTTTTGCATCGGAGACCGACTTTGGTTAAAAAAAACATTGAGGCAGAACATCTAGACCTTACGAGGATCACTAAACAACTAAACTGCTGAGTTAACACTCGATGGTTTCCATTTTTTAGCTTTAATCAATCCTCAATATTTTGGTATCACCATCCATTAATATTGTTAATGTATGTTTTAACCATAAAAAGTCATTGATTAAAGAGAAGTTACAATAATGTTGTAAAGTTATCCCTTTGCTTGCTTCATTTCGAATGGAAATCATTCAACAAAACATCCAAAAATAGAGGAAGTTTTCAGTGGGAAATATTTCCTAAAGCTTTTAGTGAATTCATTTTTTGTATTGGTTGTTTAAATGTTCCCACTGATGTTTAGGACTAAAATTGATCAGTCAATTATTGGCATATGTGCATTTTGTTCGGATTACTTCAGTACTGTCTTAAGTCACAAGCATTATAAGCAGTGATAGGTGGTAACGAGCAATGTAATCCAGGTTTGAGTCTCGGAGTAAACATCAAGTCTAAGATCCAGGTATATCCAGCATGAAAGTCCCAAATATGATGAAATATGCGTCCTGAATTACACTGCTAGCCATCTGCTATCTCTGCTTATAATGTTTTTTGTTAATGTTTTAGTTTCAAAGGATCAGCTGATTAACTTTTTGCTTCATTTAAACATTTTTGTCATCATATAACTGGTTTTCTCTCATAGAAATGTTAATGAACGGTTTGTTAAACAGATTCAGTAAATGAACTTTTCAGCCTTTTTGTCACTAATATAAACCACATTAAACAAATTTCAATTGTTGAGATTATGAGTGAAATGAAGCTAGACCACCAGGGAAAACTGGGAAGCACTGGGCGGCCGTTTCGTCTTATTGCGGGACTCCTCAACTGTGAGCATCTACCATCTCGCCTCGCAGGATTCGAACCCAGGGCCTATCGGTCTCGCTCAAGAGCGCTTAACCACTAGACCACTAAGCCGACACCCAACGATGTTAATGTTTAACTTCAACTAATCCACAAAATTGAGCGACACATCCGTGGATGCTCACTGCTGAAGAGTCCTACAATAGAACGAAACGGCCGTTCAGTGCTTCCAGGTTTTCTATGGTGGTCTAACTTCAATTGATTCACGATCTCAACTATTGAAATTACTACAATCTTCACTAAACCCCTTCTGACACAATAAATTACTTTCATTGTTGTTTTATTAGTCATTTGATTTTTTAAAGTCAACAGAAATTCAATGTACTTTTTTCAATCTTTTATCAGAAATACAAATGATTCCCATGAAACAAATTATTCCATTGAAATATTAACGAATAGAAGTGTACCATTTAGTTGTTATAAAAGAACCAAGTATAGTTTAGACAAAAACAATATATTACTTACTAATCGTACTAATATTAGTTCAGTTAATGATAATGAATTATTTCATAATAAAGGATGTGTTGAACCAATTTTATACTTTCTTACATCGAAATGGATGAAATTACAAATGTTATGCCTACTAATAATTATACTCACAATGGTAAGTTATTATATTACAACTACTGTAACAATCCTTCATGAAGTGAATATGTTTGAAGCTATGATATATCATGTTTACAATAACGATAATAATAATAATAATAATAGTAATTACGGTAATAACAACGGAAATGAAACTAACAAGGACAATTTGAAAGGTTCAGTTCATTAATTATCGAAAATTTAAAAACAAATCTCCTTTACTTTCACAATGTTTCCTAGCTCTATAGTATATGCTAGTGAATGATTTCACAGGATTAGGTATAAACTTTATTTTCTTGAGTAATGTTGCATATAGTTATTTCATTCAATAATCTTTATAACTGTTATATCCATAAGAGGTAGTTTTTTTGAAACAGGAAACACTCTCCTGAAATGTAAAACTCCAAGAAAAAGATAAAATCAATGATGAATGAAATATGACAACTATTTTAACCAAATACACTCGTTTATATGCCGATTTTATTGATCCTTAGTTATTAGTTAACAATCAGATACAGAGGAAATAAAAAAAAGGAGGTAATACACAGAATCAATTATACAAAACGCATATAAAAGATGCCATTTTAACTTATACAATTGCATGTTCATGTTTGATAACATAGAACAATAAAATGTTACCTAATAATCAATTTTTTAATGATAGTCAGTTGAAATGAACATTCCTAAATATTCAAACACATATCAACTAGAATCTGAAGATTTAAGCCTTAATCTATTTGAGTTTTAAATATTATGTTATTTTGTTATTAAACTTTCTATTAAATTTAAAATGATGAGCTTAAATGCTATGAACATGAAAACAAAAATTTAGATTCATAAACTTTGGAGATTTAAAACATTCAATTTTGAACACTGTAAACCTTCGATATACAAACCGGTAGACTTTCAATCCTAGATATTAATCAAAGTATATGTATTGTAATATATCAAATAGTTACTGAATAATAATCAATATCATATTTTCTATTCCTTGGTTTCAGTTGTTGTTCGTAGATTAAGTTCCGATTAGGTCACTACATGAAGTTACACTTCTATCTGAAGTTTGTGCTGATGATGTCGTTCAGAAGAACGATAAAAGCTCTTTGATCAAACCATCCAGCTCAGAGAACAGAACTCCATCAAAATCATCCACTTGAGCTACAAATCTTTTCCACCATCTCAAAATCATATGATCGTAGTACGCTTCTCGTTGTTCGAAAATGAAAGAATTTCGCCAAAAGACAAGCTTCCATTCGAGAACAATTATATTTTCTCCATGAGTATCTTCGCCAGCATGTTCTACCAACAAGTGTAAGATATAGACCTCCAATCAACTGCCCATTAGGATGGAAAATAGCCGAGCAAAGTGGAAGAAAAATGATACACCTAATGATAACGGATGCACACTACAAGAACCGAACATACCAACACGTCATAGAGGAACAAAAGATGAAGCTACAAAGGACACTCACGTCAGAACATTTAGAAATCCTGATAACAGCCATCGAAATATCATGCAAACGACACAAAGAACAAAGAAGAAACACTCTAAAGAAAAAAACTAATCAAGATCTCAAAACTACCTATGGAAGAAAACACAAACAACTGCGTGATCAATCTGTCAAAACAACCACTAACAAATACGGAAAAACACCTACTCCGAAAGGGATTAAACTGCAACACAAGCGACGCCTCGAAACTGGAGTTCTTCGCAGCACTAGAGTCATCACTCAAAACTTCTAGAATGAGTGAGGAAACACAATAAGAAATAGGGCAAACTATAGTACCGCTAACGCAACAGGTGAAGGAAGACAACCAACTGACTCCACAAGAACAAAACGTTTTGAAGGAACTCAGAATAAGAAAGAATATTGTCATAGTTCCAGAGGACAAAGGACGCACAACAGTAATTATGGACAAGGAGGAATACGTCAAAAAAGCCGAAGAACTACTTGAAGATAAGAATACATACAAACTGATAGATATAAATCCCGTCAAAAAATTAGACAAAAGAATCTCAAAGACTTTAAACAAGCTAGTCAAAGCAGGAGAAATAACAAAACAAGACCAATGGAGAACGAAATCCATTGAGACTTCTATCTGAAGTTTGTTCTGATGATGTCGTTCAGAAGAACAATGAAAGCTTTATGACCAAACCATCCAGCTCAGAGAACAAAACTCCATCAAAAACATTAAGATACACAATGAACTAAAAGTTCCTGCATTTAGATTACATTTATAAGCGTGGCATATTGTAATTTTAGTTGGATTGACAACCCCAAGTCACCTAGTCTTCCGATCAATGATGTTACTATTAAGGTGTGAATGTAAAAAACTACTCCCCTTAACAACTTCAAGATTAAAACCTTTCTGCTATTTGCCACAAGACATATGACATACACTATCCTTGTTGTATACAGCTGATAAGAAATCACAAACATATAATGAATTCATATTATTCTACCACATTTGTTGTTTCGATTTTATTTAAATCCATGTTAAAATCAGATTTTTGATTGGTGATATTTATTCGAAGTAGATCAAGCAATTATAATCACTTATAGAGATGCTATTACCCTAGTGATTATTTAGGTAACTTAGTATAAATATTCATTCAATATCATCCATATAAAGTATAGATCAAACCATTATAATGCATTCAAGATTTTTTCTTTAGCTAATTTTAACACAAATGTATAAGTAGTATTCAATTTTTTATTTTCAAGATTCCTCAAATAATCGTGATGTTGGCAAATATTCAAATGGAAGAATTATGGAAAGAAATAAAAACATTAATAAATAAAGTAATGAACACTACAAAGAATGGTATAGTGAAATTTATAGAAATAACAAAAACTGGAGTATCTCAATTAAAAAAACTATTTCTTGTACATATTGTAGGTTTAAGTTGGGTTTTAACATTATGATGTATATTGGTTTCATAAAGTTGTTTACTGAGAATCTGATTTACTTACAGTTTTTAACGTTTATTCATTCTAAGCAAAAATGGATGGTGGATAGCAGTGAAATTCAGGATGCGCGTTTCGTCCTGTTTGGGATTCGTCAGCTGGATGTACTTGTATCTTAGAGTTGATGTTCACTCTGGGACTCGAATGCAGTCCTGTTCTTTTCAAACACCATCATGTTATCTACTTAGCTACTGAGTCTTGATAGTTACTAGCTTGTGAAATAGGGTCAAGTGTAAATTTATTTTGGATTGTTTGTGTGAATCTTCCCATTAATGTTTAGAACCGCTATTGATCAGTTTCTTATTGGCATATATGCATTCTGATTATTTCTATGACAATATGTTCACTTAATCTAAAGTACAAACTAACTAAATTTCACTTTCAGTTCATTTTTAAAGAGTTCCTAAAAACCAACAGTTGCTGAATTGAATATTGGGGTAGTGATAGAAGAAACAATATAATACAATGAATACTTAGTCTTTTTTTTTATACAAAGTGACTTATAATCACTTGTGTTCACTTGCAGCTCATCGTTCTGGTCACAGTCCTAATCTATGACTTTCTTCATAGTGTTTACATTCCTTTAGTATTGTGTACTAGATAAATTAATTTTACTTTTCTTAATGCAGTTCGAAATGGTAATTTTGATTTTTTTTATAAATTTCATGTGCTAGTTTCAGCTAAGGTAAGAGTGAAAACCAGATAGCATTAGACAGCGGTTTCCTTTTAGTACGGGGCTCTTCAGAAGTTCAAACCAACAGTTCAGCTCGAGGTCAAACTCAGTCCTTCCATATCTTACAGTATGAACTTAATCACTAAAAGATACCAGGTTAATGATCAGTTTTAAGCTTTAAGCCATGACTAATATCATTAATGAATTTAAAGAATCTTTACAAACTCCATTGCCGAAAATGATACGAAATTATTTTTCATGAAAGTTATCTGCTTATTTCACCTATTTAAAATTAGTTTTCATCACTAACTGTTATTTAACAATAATTATGCTCCATTCATTGATGTTATAATTAGAAGCCATGATTAGTCATTTTTAATTGATGAAATGGAGATATACATTACTGATGTTATCAAATGAAAGTCAGGCAATGTTTAAACATGACTCTGTTTAACGCAAAAATCTTACTCCCAGTATCATAAAAGCTCATAACTTCATTCTACTTATTAACTAGAAATGAACCGTTGTCCAGTACTTCCTTGATTTCCATCGATTCAACAGATAATATTAGTTATTTTTTTAAACTTATCTTTTGAGTTTAGGTTTCAAAAATCTAGTGTAGAATGTACTTGTCTAACCACAAATAATTCAGTTCATGACAGTTTTTGGCATTTTTGATATTTTATGATTACTGAATATAAATGTTTCCAACTGTGCACTACAATTGTCTAACTTTTCGTAAATAATCAGTAGTATTGTGATGTGTGCTACTTATAACGATATAAGTAGAATATAACGCTACTCAGGAATATAATGTTTGGCAGCAAAAGGTTGAGAAGATTAATGAGGAAAGAACGGGAACAGAGAGCTATCGGTATGGAAATGAAGGAACAATGAAGTTTGAGATAATTAATGAACATTTTGCAAATGAATTATTTATTGTATGATAAACAAAAATGGATAGTGGCTAGCAGTGGAATTCAGGATGCGCGTTTCGTCCTATTTGGGACTCGTCAGCTGGATGTACCTGCATCTCAGAGTTGATGTTCACTGTGGGACTCGAACCCAGTATCGTTCGCTTTAAACGCCATCGCGTTATCCACTTAGCTACTGAGTCCTGATAGCCACTTGCTTGTGCAGTGGGGTGAAGTTATTGTATGGTTCTCAGATTTCACTAAGATAATCTGTAAGGTATTATAATACATTCGATTGTACCAACTCTTGTTCTCGTTCACTACAGTATGTGCATAATCGAGAAAGAAGATACTGTTATCTGCCAACAGATGGTCAAAACACTCGAAATATGTTTAGTAAAGTAGGTTTATTTAGTGTTGAAATTTCAAGTCTTATCTATTAGCACTAAAGAATTATACAATTGGATTTACATCTAATTCCTATTCTTAAAGATTATTTCTATAAATGGAAATGAAACATAGCAACTTCTTGGTTTTCGAATAATTACTTTGATTATTATTAATCCTCTTTCTTTCAATTACCTAATGTTCATTTATAATCGATATGTCATTATATAATTAGTGCGTAACGCATCTACTCGACGAGTATTATTACATTATTGTGAATTATATATATTATATATATAAATTATATATATTAGTGTAGGGCTATGATGAAAATCTAATTGGAAAGAAATTTCATCGCTCGATTCGTTTCTTCTTTATTTACCAAATAGAAATGAATTGAAAACAGATTACTTACAATAATTTAAATCTTCAAAACACTCAGTACATATAAATGCCCCCCCCAAACCCTAACATAATATTTACTGTTTTTCCCTTATTATTCATAGCTCAACATAAAAAGTTGTGAAGGTTACTTTGAGAAATTATTAGAATCAGATGAAAAATTTTACTGCGAACAATTAACCAGACATGAATCAGATGTCGTTTATCAAGAAATAAAACTCATTGAAACTACACTTCAAAAATCTCCATCGATATTAAACCCAAATTCTAATCAAGAACAACAAGAACAAAAACAACAACAGAGTCAACAGATAAAACAACCAACTAGACCAGGACAAAAACGAAAATATTATCAGCTAACGAATCAACAAGAAGAACAACGACAACAACAAAAACACCGGCAGTACTCAGTAAAATATGGTTCACATGGAAAGTCGATTATATTTACAAATTTAAATAAAATTCCTGTAAATAAATTACATAAATCATATGTACATATAAGATCTAATGGAAAATTAGCTAAAGTTAATCCACACTTAAATGAACGACCAATATGGAAATATACTTATAAAGTATAATAATAAAAGCTTTTCATAGGAACTTATAATTTCTACAAACTCTCAATGAAAATATTGAAAATGATATCTCTAGAAGAGATATGAATAATACTAATAAATAACAATGCTATCATTCTCTTTTGAATTAAATAAAAGCAATGTATTTATGTAAAATGTGCTAGACTTTCAATTCATTGAATATTCCAATTGTCTTTTCTGAGTTTGTTTATGTTCTCAAAAATATGAAAAGTTTATTGATAATAAAAAACATTGAAAACCATAAGTGAGAATAGGGGCTAGTAGTGGAATCCAGGACTCGCTTTTCGTCCTATTTGGGACTCGTCGGAAGGATGTACCTGCAAACAAGACGATACCAAGTTAATCTAAATTCACCCCATTACACAAGCAAGTTGCTATCAGGACTCAGTAGCTGAATGGATAACGCGATGGTGTTTGAAGCTAATGGTACTGGGTTCGAGTCCCACAGTGAACATCAACTTAACAAGTTATCAGAAGAGTGTTTACCAACAGCAAACTCGTTGAGTTTTGAACATCTGGCTGGCCACGTCTTACGGTTATCACTGCCCTACTAGGGGGGAGTGATCTGTAGCGGTAAATAAATCCCCAAAATAAATAGCTCTGTACGTCTTCAATTTGGATGAGGACCACATTAGTTTAAATGGACTCTTCTAGCTGAAGGTGCTCGGTCACGCATTCGCACCAGATAACGAGTGAGAACGCTGTGCTCAACAACCCCTGCAATCGCTAGCCAGATTACATCAGACGATCCTCGATATATTGACAGCCTATCAAATATATCTTCGAAGCTCCTCGCTTCTGTCTTTTGATTTCACTCGTTGGGTACGATTCATATTAGAAGGTGTTACTGGTTAAAGCGTTGTCAAACTCCAAATACCTGTGGCATCTTCAAGCTCAAAATAATACAAATGTCTTTATGAGATTAAGAGACGAAAAGTCTAGTCAAATAATAAACTAATCGATGGATTTCTCAATGTTTATTGTTTTGTCCAACCGTCTCCCCATTCAGTCACGGCATAAATGCGAAGATTAGACAAGCCAAATGCAATGCATTCAAACACTACCAATGTATCAGTGGCGCAACTCCACTTGCTAGTTGATGTAAAATATCTATAAGTAAGGATACATATTCCCTTCACGAGTGACTCCACGCATTTGTGATAGGTCGGGAGGCTAATACAGTTAAATTTCCTGTTCTTAAGTGGCCATCTATCAGACGAAGAACGTTCTATTCCATTCCCTTCAAAAGCGATAGACTTGCTGAAATTGTTTTCAAAAAACGTTTCGCAGCAAGCTGAGCAATATGATCATGAAGGGACATTATCCAAACGTCATCTGGCCTGAGCGATTGAAGGCAACTACTGTGAAATATACGAAAGCATCCGTATTAGGATTTCACAGCCAATAAACTAGGTCTGAGAAAAGCCTGGTTGATGAGAGTCTCCAATATCGGCTTTCGTCGAAAGATGGAACTGGATCTTGTGCGGTAAAAGCAAACCAAATCGTAGTTCGCAGAAAACTGGCCAGAAAAATCTCGTGCCATCAAAAGACTTAACGCGGAATATTTCTTTATTGTAGGGGTGACGTGGACCTTCATCCACTATTTTCACTTACAACTAAGCCAAGTATATGCACACGAAAAACAATCCACCGACTCTGCATTAACTAAGAATATTCGGTGCAAAAATTGTCAAACCTAGAATAGTACTGTAGAAAGTAAAATCGTTCAGTACCCCTATGCTTACATTGTTCCACAGCTATCACTGTATCAGACGCTATCCGTGCTCCAGTAAAAATTCTGTTTAGATAATCACTTCAATCTCACAGGAAAAAGAAACAGTAGAACCAGTGAATTGCCTTATTTATAAGGGAGGAGGCAAAACAAACATGCTACGGTCGAAAGTCATGAAAAGCCTGGTAAAAGTTAAGATAAGAGCGTGAATTTTAAAAAACAATTGATTCTGACACAACTTCTAGGAAAGGCTGGTTATGAAATGTGTTCAATAGACATTATTGTGCTTGGCGTGTTCTGTTATGATAATCATTGACTCGATTTATCGGTAGAATATATATGCAGTTATATTAGGAATCATATTTCATCATTCATCGATATTGATTAGAGTAAACAAAGGGTACGAAACGCTTTGGGCTTTAATTTCGTTCGACGAACACTCTTGATAATAATAACATTACATCGATAGTGCACCTTCTTCTCTGTTTAGTAACTAAAGATGGATATCACCCGTAACATTTTCTCCAGTTCAGTTTTCATTTTCAGTTTGGGAAGGACAGGGGACTGGGTGCCCCGTATTAGTCTTGGCAATGATGGTCTCTCAGTTGATCCAACTTTCTTTCGAAAGAGTCGACAGATGGAGCCTCAAGCACGTGTTGAAGTAATGAATTCCGTTTGTTCATTATTCGGTGAGAAAGTCGATAATTAACTGACAAGTAATTCGGTCCGGGCTTGTGAACTTTTCTGGTGTCCTCGTAAATTTTCTGTCTTGAAAGACGAGAAAAATGGGGGCATATTATGTGCAAATTTATTACTAAATAATCTGAAAACCTTAACTAAGTCGACACTGTTTCTTCAATATGGCAGTTGAAATACATTTAGCTTAGCCAGTGAGCGTCCTACAGAAGCTACGTTATTCCGGCAATCAACTTAGCTGCTGTACTCTGAACCCTTTCGAAAGGCTCACTACCTTTCCCATGCATGGGCTGGCAGCTTGCATGCAGCACTCGAGTTTAGGATGCACGAGTACTGTGTACAAGGTCAAGAAAGTTTGAGCGTCAACATGTCTAAAGACCTTACGTATCGACCATTGTGTTCTAGACACTTCGGCGGTTATCACGCGGCAGTGTGCAGTAGTTTTTAAGTTTTGGATAACGATGCTGTTCCAAAAGGGTTTTTATCGAGATACTCAAAAACTCTTTTACGAATAGTCCTTTCTAAACTTTTGACAACCACGATGGTTAGGTTTACAGGTCAGTGGTTCATAGGTTTATGTTTCGTACCTGCTTTGAAGACAGGATTTTCCATGGCGTCTTTCCAGTCTTTCGGTAATCGATGCGAAGTTTGGAGAGAACTCTATCAAGTCAAAGTTCCAGAATAAAAGGCCAGCCAGTGGGGCATTTTTCCCGCTCCCTAAATGCAGTCAGCTTGTGCGTTATTCTATCATATGAAGTTATCAACTTCCGTTTATTTCACAGAGAACTTTATGTTTTCTTCGAATACTCGAAATAGCACTATGTATCGATTTACTGAAACTGTTGATAACGTGCTACTAGAAAAAGAAGCTTCTGTCTCGTACACGACAATTTGATTAATTTTTTGACACAAACTTGAATATTGTACGCGCCTTAATCACAAGTTGCGTAACTATGTCAGAACGTTCGGAAATGGAACATGCCGTAGCTAGAGTTGGTGCTGGGACAATCCCCTTGTCGATCCTTATTGAATTCATCTCACAGAAAGTTTACACAGATCTTATGCGTCTTATCGATCTGTGAGTTCTTTTAAATAAATAAAAGTTATTATTTAGGTTGCCAAGCAAAACAGATCTTGAAAAGAAGATAGAAATCGCTACATTCTTTAGTCGTACTCAGCATCTTTTTATAAGGCTCGAAGCCTTAGTTAAGTGGTCAAATAGTGCATCAAAGGTCGACAAATGCGAGGTAATATCTCTGGAATTGTAGAAAACTTCCTTCAAGAAAATTTCAAACTTTTTAGAAGAGCAAAGTTTCTTTTTAATAAGCACAGCAAACGCTCTCTCTAGGCTTCTTAGGGAGACTTTAGTCAGTGCCAGGTAGGTTCATACTACTGTTAAATGAATTTCAGGTTGCCACCGTTTTCTGTACTTCTTGCAATTGATATATTTACAAATAAAGGATATACTCGTCTCCCAAAGTCCATTAAAGTAACTCATTATTGATTTCTAACGTTTAAGAACTCTGCTTTTGTTGCCGAATCTGTCACTGAAAAAGAAAAAAAGCAAGCCCTCATTGATCTTAACTGTATCATCCAAAATCGCCTTAGCCTTACCCAGTTACCACATCAATTCCGGACTATAAAAATAGGTATGATTTTATCTGGTATTTTATAGTTTTAGCTGATGGACGTGCGCAGTTCGTCGTTCAGAATGAATTCGCTGTAGGTTGTCGAATTTTTGTTGATAACTTCGTTTAGGTTACTGTCACTCTGATGTCCGAAGCCCTTGACTTCCCTTGGCGAATTTTAGATCTCAAATTTTTACTTAAAGACTCATCAGTGAGTAAGTTTACTGTGTGTGATGTTTGAAAATACTTCAAGTTCTAGTCATTGAGTGTTTTATTGAAGTAACATTGTGTCCTGTATATTTTCTAAGTATTTGCTTACCAACCATTCTAATTCAGATTGAAATTTTTACAGCTACATTTAATAGTATCTTAAGGACATCTCCGCTTCCAGTTGATACATATACTTAAGTATTCCTTTTTATGTCTTTTCACAATGTGTTCCTCATTTTTTATGTGGTGATGAGTTTTCTCAAAAGTTCGAACATAAAGGTTAACTCCAAGCGTTTATGTTGCATCTGTCGTACAGTAGCAACTATATGTTACTTGTAGCCTCGTAATTTCAAACATGTGTGCTTTGTTATGGGGGGAGAACTTATAGCTCTCCAAATTAGTATCCTACCAGCATCGATTTCAAACATCGACAACTCGTTTTAATTCTGCGATGTGTGCTCTCTGAACTTCAGAAAGCTAAACGTTCAGACGAAGCACTCGTAAGAGGTGACTTTAGTGCCCAGATAGGTAGTCTAAATCAAACAGAAAGGCGTTTAAGTGGATATTTTAGTATTCCGTCACAGCGAACAGATAATGGTGATCGTCTGCTGCAACTGTGCTCAGAAAATAGTTTATTTTTAGCAAACACAAATTTTAAACATAGACAGAGAGATCGTCGAACATGGCGACCCCCTACACCTAACCAACGATGAACTCAGATCATATTACCATCGGTCATCGTTGGAGAGGGTCGCTAGAAGATTGTCGCTTATTCTGGAGTACCTGCTTAAACTTCGACCATGTCCTGGTACGGGCACGCATCTGCTTGCGCCCCGCTGGACGCAAAAAAGCCACACTAAAAAGACCCATTAGAACCGAATTGAGTAACGAGAAAACCAAAAGTAGGTTCCAGAAACAACTGAGGTCACACTTATGTAGTTCTGAAAACGAGGCTGACCCAGATGTTGCTTGGAAAGATATATAAGCAGCTGTGGAAACAGCAGTGACATCTATTAGTGATTTAAACCACAGGGTTATAAAGAATCTATGGATTTCTTCAAGGTCTATTGCACTGATGGATTCTCGTAAACTCATCCCATCAGGTTCTGAACACGATCAAGAGCGTAAAGAAATCAGATCTAGGTTAAGCAAAGGTCTAAGGAACGACCGTGAGCAGTGGTGGGCGACGAAAGCAAAAAAGATAGAAAGGGCGGCGGTTATAGGGAACAAAAGAGAGCTCTACAGGCTAATAAAAGAGACTGGAATTAATAAGTCAAGTGTAAGTCAGTCTATTTCGGAAAAAAACGACACTCATCTGCTCCCAGTCCAGACGTTTAGAACGATGGGTGAAACATTTTAGATAACAGTTCAGCTGGCCTTTAGCTACTCTGCAACTACCTTCCATTCCCAGACAGCGTGAATGGAACATTGAAGTAGGTCCCCCGACTCTAGCTGAAGTTCATAAGGCTATAGTTAATCTGAAACAAGGAAGGGCAGCTGGTCCACATGGATTGGCTCCAGAGGTCTTTAAGGATGGTGGTCCAATTTAAGCGATTAGGTTGACTAATATTTTAGCTAAAATCTGGGAGTTGGACGTTATCCCATTTGACTCGTCACAATCACTTATCATCCCAATATATAAGAGAGGGTCAAAATCATCCTGTGCAACCATAAAGCGATTAGTTTAACGAATATAGTATCTAAAATACTTGCCTCGATAATTATCGGACACCTAACTAAGACTCGTGAACTGCAAACACGAGAGAATCAGACTGGCTTCAGACCTGGTCGTGGCTGCATCCACCACATATTCACCATTTGTCAGGTTCTAGAACACAGGCATACTTATCGGAGTCCAACAATGGTGGTCTTTCTTGACTTAAAAGCAGCATTTAACTACGTAGACCGTGAGATTCTGTGGCGGTGTCTGTCATTGAAAGGCGTACATCAGAAGTATATAAACCTTGTAAAGGTTCTTAACTCGAACAATACTAGTCGAGTCAGAGCTTATGGCAAACTGTCATCGGCTTTTGCAACCTCAAGTGGTGTCCATCGAAGCTGTCCACTTTCTCCATTTTTGTTTAACTTCATCATGGATCTACTGATGGAAATAACGCTCTCATTGACTAAATTTTCAGGAATTGGTCTCCTTCCAGGAGGTCCACCTATCGACTTAGAATACGCAGATGACATAGTCCTGTTTGGTGAAGACACTGATAAAATCCAGTGTCTGTTGGTAGTACTGAGCAACAATCCCAGGATGTTTGGGATGCGCTTCTCTCCCTCTAAATGCAAGTTGTTGCTTCAGGACTGGTCTGCGTCAACACCTGAACTAAGGATAGGGAGTGATGTAGTCGAACGCGTCAACAACTTCACTTATCTTGGAAGTCTGATCAGCCCTAATAGGTTGGTGTCTGACGGAATCTCTACAAGGATTCGAAAAGCTCGTTTGGCTTTTAACAAGTTACGTCACCTATGGCCAAGGTGAGATATCCGTCTACCAATTAAAGGATGAGTATACTGCGCGGCAGTTCGTTCTGTTCTTCTGTACGGCTGCGAAACATGGCCATTGAGAGTAGAAGATACTCGTAAGTTACTAGTATTTGACCAAAAATGCCTTAGAAATATTTCTCGCATCTGCTGGGATCACCGGGTAAGTAATAGTGAGGTTAGACACAGGGTATTAGGAAATGATGGTATATCAGTTGATGAGGTTGTGAATCTTCATCGACGGAGATGGTTGGGCCACGTGTTACCTATACCTGAACACCGATTACCACGACGAGCAATGAATAGTGTTGGGGACGGTTGGAAGAGAGTCAGGGGCGGCCAAACCAAATCGTGCCATCAGTACTTGAAGACACTAACTTCTAGTCTGAGCTATGTTGGTAGATGCAGACTACTTAGTTGGGGTGCGTGTGACTATCGTAACCAATGGTTGTAGACTGTGAATGACATGGCTCTGAATCGATCACACTGGCGTCGGTGTATACACTCTCTATCATCCCTTAAACTAAGAGATTAAGATCACTTCATATCTTCCCTTCTACGAACTAGTTCTTCGTTCCTGTATTATATCCTTATATGCAATCTTTCTTTTATCTATCACCATTGACTTAACCACTCCTATTAATCCGGTGTTCATCTTGCTGTGCTAATGCGGTGTGGCAACTTGGACCGATGCATGTATGTGCCTGGTCCTACGTTGTAGCTGACTGACTGATGTGTGTAATCGCTTCTATACATAGATCTGTTGCATCCGTTTTTGGTTAATCATTCAGCGTTCCTTAATGATGTCCAAACTATGATCATCGGTAGAGGGAATATGGTTTTCTAGTTTACCTTATTGAAAAAATTCAAACTACCCAGAAACTTATCGATATGTGCGAGTTTTCGGTACCGCCATATGTAATATTGGAATTATCAAATTCACAGTGAGAAAAAGTCAAAAGCTACAGAAGATTACTGCTTGGTAATTCATCATTGGAAGCAATTGTTGTTGCGAAATTTCACTAATAAATGTTTGTTTCATATTTTTGTATATTATTTCCAGACTACCAAAATCTTGTTCATCCGGCGCAAACAAGACTCATAATTAACCAAGCCCAGTCTCGTCTGCTCTATCGGCAGTTTGATAGTCGTCCACCTCTTGTCCACCTTTACGATATGTTGCGTATCCTTTTTGCGAATCAATATCGAATCGATCGTCTATAATAATGTACTGTATTATGATTTTATCTCAGTTTTAGTCACAGGTCTTTTTCCATAGTTATCCACTGATAAGAATAGTTATTGTTATAGTATTTTCAACCTAATCTTAACTCATACTTCTATTTGTTGTATCTGAATATTCCCCGGTTGTTTCTATTTTAATGACTGTTATTAGTAGCTTGAGTTTTAGATGTTCTCGTAGTATGACTTTAGGAATATTTTGCGTGAAGTTGCGCTGAAGAGGATTATACTAAGTAATAATATAATGAGACCATTATTTTACAGATGAGATTCGAGTAACAGGCTAAGTCATAAGAACTGTGTGGATGACTTCGATGAGTTTGACTTATTGTAGTCCATAGTAAGATTGATCTACCAGAAACTTTCATGTTTACTTTTTACTACCCTGTTACAATAAATTAATTTTCACTATAATAAATACATTTAAAATTACATTGTTATTATTGTCATCAATGAGAAAAGTCGTGTAAAAACTATGTCGTAGATCAAGCCCATCTTGATTTTTTAAAAATCCCTTTTTCAGATAAACTAATTACCTTCAATTCGTGAACTAATTGTGAACGTGCAATAATACAACTTCTTGAGTCATATGTGTAGAAATCTGACGTGTCACTTTCTTACCGTAGGTTAAGGTTAGCAGTGAAACTCAAGTAAGATTAAAATAAGTTGATTTGGACAATTTAACTTGAAAATAGTACACTTTTTGCTAACATTCTTTCCGCTCCACCAATGATAATAGTTCATTTAGCTTTTGTGTATTCGATCCATTTAACTAACCACATTACTTTCTATGATGTATAATTTTACCTCTGGTTTTCTTGGATTGGTATAACACCCACACCACAAGCTACCTCTTATAACACTAGTCAGTTTGGATTTCTTGTTTTAGGTGATGTATAGTTATGCATATTTTATAGTTTCATATAGTCATTTAATAAAAGAGCTATGACTGCTCATATGTTGTGACTAGTATCACCAATTAAATAGTAGTCATCAATGCGGAGTCTATTAGGTAACTAATATTGCAATAATAACCAAGTATTTGTTAATAAAGCGTACTGAGATTTTGGATGCTTTTTTTCTGTAACGTTAAATTTATTTATTCTTCTTTCCTATACTCTCACTAAACCATGTACAACAATGCTTCTAATAATAGTTGTTGATATATCTAATTGTTTTACAATTGTTAAATAAACGAAAGCGTATTCATTATTTTAGTGTTATTACCTGCTAGATTTTTAACCGTAATCATTTCTTAACATGACGTGTATAATGTGTAGATGCTTTTAGTTTATCACTTCAATTGGATATGTTGCATGAACAAGCTCAACGGGCACGTTCAAAACGACCACCAGATCAACTTACAATCGAAGCATATAGACCTAGTAGATGTTTGTCGATTTCTTATTGGCATGGTTTAGCTAGAACTCAGTATAATTCAGTTATGGGTCTAGATGGAAAGTTACATCCTACAGGTATGTATGAATATATGTTTATGTTTTGTGTATAAAGATAACGTTGTTATCGATGGAATAAACACTAGTAAACTTATAAAACAATGATTTTGATGGTGGTTTGTTTTCTGTCATTTCTCGTGTAGAGGTAGTAAATCTCCATCACCCTAGGTGGTTGGGACGTGCTTTACGTATACCTAAACACCGCCTACCCGAAGAGCTATGTTGACTGGTGTAGGAGTAGGCTGGGAAAAATTTAGAGGTGGCCAAACCAAAACATGGAATCAGTCCATGAAATCGTTGACAGTCGATCTGAGCCGTGTTATTTACTAGTTGTAAACTACTTGGTCGGGGTCAGTGTGACTATCGTAACCGATAGTTAGAGATTTTGAGTGACATGACTTAAAATCATGTGCAGTAGCACAGGTTCATCCATTCTTTCTACTCCCCCATTTTTTTAAGTCTCTGATTTCTCATAACTCTTTACTTCACGAATTTTATTTTCTTCATGAATCGTATCTTCGGTGTTTAGTCTTTTCTATTACCATGGATAGTGTTACTACCTCTATCATCCTGGGATTCGGCCAGACAATTTTATCTGTGCTAGTGGAATGAGTATGGCAACCGATGTACATACGTTCTAGGCTTTATGCTGTAATTGACTGACTGAAACATTTTCCAACGAGCTCATTTCCAAAGTTGTACCATCAGATATGTTTTAAATTTTAAGCCTAAAAATGATAGTTTTGTCAAGATATTGACAGTGCGTTTTAATTAGAAAACTGACTATATATTATTGAAAATTGTTAATTATGTAACAGGAAATATCTAATAGTTAGTGTCAATCGAGTTACTGTGTATATAATTGAAGATTAAAATGAAGATTATACGTTATATAAGGTAACATAAACGTAAGTAAAAGAGAAGTATTTTTATAATAACAAATTAGAAAGCGTAAGGAGAAACGCAACAGTTAAAAATTGTAGACGTGCACTGACTGCTGGTAGCCACTGCCAGGGAAGTCTTACTCATTGCCTTCTCGTGGCTGGAGCACTCTTTACAAAGTTGAGAGAACGAAAAGTGAATGTCCGGCGCCTTAACCGCGTTAGTGGGTGCGGAGGATTCATCTAGGGAAGTTGGAAAACCCTGATTCCAAACCAATGGTGCACAGGGGCTCCAGGATCATGAGGGAACAGACCTATTGTTAATCACCGTCTACCATGGGACTGCATCTCCTACCGTTGCTCCACTGCCTTGGGGATTAAGTCTCTAAATCATAGGATTGGGTCGTGGCCCTCTAAGGAAACCACCTTCGTGGATTTGGGTACCCAGGCCGTATCCCAGCCCTCACACAAGTCGAATGATGACTACGAATGGAAAAATTATTCTTGCTTCAATTCATTCACATTCTGATCATTTGATAGCATTCGTCTTTATTTTGTATACTATGTCACTCGTCTATTACTTTCTATTCTCATTTTGTGTATCCTTTCATTTCTCAATTTATACAGTAGCTCGCCTGTGGTGGAAACCGTATACTCTCTAAACGATTTAAATCCACTGATTTATTTCATTGTCACACACTAATTTCTGTTCGTTGTCGCTCTTGTCTGTATTATACCCTCCTTCCATCCTCTATCTCCTCACAACTATTGTTGTTATGTGGCGCATATGTATTCGGTGCCCCTTTGTACCAATTTTTATGTGTTCAGATAAACAAAATTCTGATTCCTCATACTGTTTTGATTCCGTTCTTAATTAACAATCCCTTATCGAGTAATATTTTGTCCTCTACCTTATTACTTCTGAATGTAGCATAAATTTGCAGAATATTGTTTATAACCCCACCCCTTAATCTTTTCAGCTTATTTACTTACCATTCATGTTGATCCAACGGAACCTCAGAGGCCACTATGTGTTAGTCATCGTCCTGAGCTTTCTACTTCAAAATCTCAATTAGTTGGTGCTACTGTACAAGTGAGTATCGGTTCGTGAATATATTATACTGTGACCGTAGAAGAATATTGCGGTTAGTAATTAAGTTAATCTGAAACTTGACGTTGGTGTCGTCTAACCTCATATAAAAGGTGTTGTTCTGCAAAAGTACTGTGTAATGCTTTTTTAAACAATTTTCGGGATTCTCAAAGAGTTATGCAGACATGGTTTCTAAGATGGCATCAAAATAACTTCGAATTTCATTTAATACTTATGATATATAGTTAACAAAGATTGTGTCTTTCTATAAGAACTAATAATATCAAGTGAATATTACTCTTTAAGAAGTAAATTGTGTTGTTTCAGTTCATCCGTTAAAATAACCTAATAGCCACAGGAAAAGCAATAAATTATGATACAGTCAACACCTCTTAGTTCATGATTAAACATTAGTCTGTAAATAGTAATTAGTACACGGTTGAATGGTTACTGTCTATATATAATAGTTATAAGAGGAGGGTCTTGAACCAGTGTTTTACTTCCTGAACTGTTGAAGCTATGAAGCCAAGTAAAATCCTTTCTAACTATATATTGTTAAAAAAGAATAATTTGAGTTATTTTCCCGATAAAATTTCTCATAATTTTTTTGTGCTTGTACAAAAAGGGAGATTGTTTATCTATCGAAACTCTGCTAACAAGAACTATGGTGGCTCGAGCTGAACAAATGCTACAGGTAAATCATTTGATATTCTATTGATTTTTATAAGTAATTTAATTATCATTAATAAAAGTGAAATAGTATCAATTTTTATATAATGAATGTAGAAAATTCATTTTCTCTTTCCTGTCATATCTTATTGTTTATCGTTTAGTTACACAAATTTGATATATTCTATCATGTAAAGAAAATTCATAAACTTGTACTAATAATTGTACATATTACGATATATATATATATATATATATATATATATATATATGCCCTCATTCCTACGGTTGAAGAATATATGGAACTCAAATCAACTGTCGACCGGCATCCAAGTCAGAATCTTCAATACGAATGTCAAGACAGTTTTACTGTACGGAACTAAAGCTTGGAGCACTACTACAATCATCGCCAAGAAAGTACGAGTATTTATAAACGATTGTCTACTCAAGATGTCCGTTTGTCGGATACCATCAGCAGCAGTCTTCTGTGGGAGAGAGCAAACCAGCTTCCAGCTGAAGAGGAAATTAGGAAAAGATGCTGGAAGTGGTAGGACATAGGCTGCGGAAATCATCAAACTGCATATATATTTAATAATTGACTCGTGAATTCATAGACAGCCGTTCAGTGCTTCCAGGTTCTCCATTAAATGAGGTTTTGGAAAAAGCGTTATCAGGCTTTGATCATTCAGTACTTGTTCTTAAGTTATTTATTTATCATTGAAAACGTTATGCATCATGTTCTGTACCGCTAAAGTTCATCAAGAGTATGGTATATATGATGAGTTTTTAGAGTGATAATAATCCCTAAGTCTTTTAAATAATAAGTAATTTTTTTCATTTAAGAATAATAACTTTGTCTTGGTGACATAAAGAGATAGCCCTTAACTGATCTGTTCATGTTCCTTTTTTATATTTTATAGGATTTGAGACAAGAGCTACTGATTATCAGTCCTGGACCTGTACGTCTTGCCGATGCTCCATTATGCTTGTACGTTCCACTTTTATGGCCTTGTAGTCCACATGAATTATTACAAGTACGCATAGATCCTGTACAAGGTTTTGTATGCACTTCATTTCCATTACTTACTTCACTCGATACTGAGTTTGGTGCTACTGGACCAGTTGTTGCTAGTGTTAATTTTAGTCCTCCTACAGGAGTTTCTGAAAATTTTTCTCGTTCCAGTGTTATTAATACACTTGCTTCACTCGAGTCTGCTTTTAATCAAGCATCTTGTCATCGTGTTCGTCTTGTGTCTGCTACAGGAGCTCTTGTTCAACCTCATGAGAGTGATCGTATTTGTTCAATTCAATCTCGGAGTTTACGTAATCTTTCCCACGGAGATGCTCGATGGCGTTCTGTGATTTGTGAGTGCTTGGAACATCTACGATTGTGTTTAGGTTTGGCCAGGTTAATGCAGACAGCAAAGATACACCGACCATTTTGGCAACCGTTTAAACGTCATCTTCCTCTAATATTGTCTCCTGCACAAGTCAACTTATCAAGTTCATGGTCTCAAATGCTAGTCCGTTTACAGCAGTCATATCGTTGGCCTATTTTATTTGCTCAATTATTTCCAAATAACGAATACTATATAGCATGCGAAGTTATTTCTGGGCCATTGAATGTGGACTACAAATATTACTTAATTGTTTGTAATGCCCTTCCAGAACATATGAATATCACTACAAATTTACAAGGTGTACTTGTTTTCAACTCGGAAGTAAATTCCGCCTCTGGACATTTAAATGAAACTGGATTATTTCTTCAGGTGACTCACTTCACATCGCTCATAGCTGATACTGTTTGGTCTAATAATCCATCAACAACGGTGAGTTTCTGTGTTTTGGAATGTATTGTTTCGTGAAAGTTACATACTTTGAGTGTCATTTCTATTGTACACCAAGATAACAGTTATAGTATCTACAAAGATATGTCAGTCATATACAACGTAAAACCTGACGCATATGTGCATTGGTCCAAGTTGCTAAATTGCATTAGTACGACAAGATAAAATCATCAAGGTAGAACAAATTTAATGTATTCGCGTCTGGAAAGGTGAGGAAGAAAATATATTAACCACTATCTGAGTCCACATAAAATTACATTAATTAGCTTCGTGATAGGTTCTTAGTTTTCTACCAGGGTATCTAAGTACATTATCGCTTACATAATTGAAATATAAATAAGTGAAATTTAGATTATGTTTAACAATATTTAATCATAATAATAATATCAAAATTACGACTGATTCTCACTTGTCTTTATCATAAACACTGACCAGTGATTTGTATTTAGAGTTTGAAGCTGAAATCTTAATTAAATATCTTTTTTTATATGATCTGTTTGTAAATCTCTATTAATTGTAAACGTAAAACATATTTGAACCTTTCAAATATAAGTTAGGATAATTATTACCTAGCAAATCGTCGATTTTAACATTCTGTATCTTAATGCGAGCTCAAAGATTCCCTCCTTGTCAAGAAGAAACAATTTAGGATGATTAAATTAAGTGGAGAATAGCAAGAATCTTTTAATAACATCGTCTTGACAAAGGTGTGATTTCAGTTCAGTCACACTAGTATATATTTATTAAATGACTTACATTGATGAAGGCACAAGTTTATAGTTCTGACGAGTAAAATACTATATTGACGAGTTGTCGATTTAGCTATCATATGCTAGCAAGTTCTTTAAATCTTTCGGAACAAAACAAATTCAAGTAATCGGAAAGTATTTTTAAATTTTACTTTAAAACTGTTACTAGTCATAAGTAGGTAAGATTCACTTTTAAAAATAAATTCCCGATTCTCTCATCATTTTTGTGACTCATTTATGAATGTTCTATAATTTGTTGAATTAAATGTTGAGTATTATACAATTGTGTGTTTACTAACACGAATATCTTGATTTTATTCTTGATAATCTTTAGTACGCTCCAAGATTACTAAATATATACGTACATAATAGCGTGTAGATTTTGTTCATTGCAAACTGGTTTAATACGTTCAAGTTTATCTAAATTGACTTTGAATCACATAGTTTATTTGGAAGTCAATCATACTACCAGAAGTAGGAAATGACCTAATATGTTAACCAAGTGCTGTTTTTATGGAGTTTAATCATTCTACTCTATCTCGCCCACATTGAAGTAGATGAAGGGGTATTCGTAGAAATATATTAACTCATTCACCATGTAGTTGAATATAAGCCACGCTCTAAATAGGAAGGCTAATGATAATATCCGGTTGCCCTAATCGAAGTAGCCGGATCTAGGCTCGAACTTGAGAATGCCTTAACCATTAACCTGTCGCTCGACTTTTATCACAAAACTATATATCCTGTTGCTAGTTGTTCTTTTAAGTATACATTTATCTTAATCCTAAAACAGTCGACGTATACCTAACTTATAAACCGAATACACGTTCATTTATTTAACTAACTATGAAATATGTATCTCATGTGGGAACTGCAGTAACACTACCTGACTACTGATACCGGTGTAGATGGTTCGATGTTTTGAAGTCTGTTTCATATTCTAACCCATTTACCATGTATAGATCCGTGTAATTGTCTACGAACCATATTATAACTGTAATAAATAAATAAATAATAATAACTATCAGTATGCTCTTATTTTTCCCTTTTCGTTTCTATTTAGTTGGAACAATTATGTGCTTGTATTAAAAAAGCCCAATCTACCATAGTGAATCAACGCTCAACACGTTTAAATGAATTATTAAATAAACTAAAGCTGTCCCATGCAATTGACAATGAACCAGTTTACAACGATGCTGCTGTTGTTACTCGCAAATCAATGCGCTTATTTGAACCTCAAGCCACTGTACCAACATTAGCTCGTTTAATTGGAACTTTGGAAGAGAATATACTCACTAACTATTTAACAGTGGAAGTAAGTTTTTTCAAAGGCGTGTATGTATTTTGTATGGTTTTAACCTTTAAGAATTCACTTAATTTTTTTTCAATTAAAGGCTAAATTCCTTTAGAATGTTTGTTTATATGTCAATATTTTCCATTTTTTTAATGAGATGGTAACTATTTTGGGTTATGGGACATTTCCAATGGAAAAAATTCGAGCTATTCTTCTTCTAAGCAGATTCGATCTTTGAACAGTTACTAACCGGAAATATCTCCTTTTCGCTCACTGTCTGTTCCCATTACTGACAAAATGTCTTCAAGAAATTTAAGAGTTACCATTACTAAATTAATCAGTTTATTAGATTCACATAAATAATGCATCTGAAGTCAATACATACAAGTAATAATTGATTTCAATCAGGCTGATAAAGTTGGCAACATCAGGCATTATTTGGTATAGATAGGAAGAAAAATAATTATTTGAATGGAACCAAATAAATAACTATAACATCAAGCAATATGATATTAATTATTTCTACAACCAGTTGCTTTACTATGGGCAAGGCAATAGTGCTTAGTGACTACTCATGAGTAATATAATTTGTATACACAAACTTTACAACAGTTGATTTCCTGTTTGTCGGATTGTAACGCCATTTTCATTAAAGCACACAAACCACAAAGGATTGTACAACATGCGATCTCTTGAATGCTTCGAATGATAGTATAATAATATTTGGAATGGGTGTCTGTTCATCAAATTTTAAAATGTTGTTTCACAACTATTCTGCTTAAACTCCTAAATTTATTATTTGAAGTACAGTAGTTGAGTGTGTTGATCAGCTCATTTATCTGTGAGGTTTCATTAGTCACCAAACTCATAATTTTTGTTTAACGTCTAAACGTTAAGGAAGTCGTTAATCTTTCTTACACAAAAGTTGTTCTTTTATTCCCAAATGAATAATCCGTAAAGTGGCCAGGTTTAGGGCAAAATACGCTGTTTAAAATTATGACATGTGCATTTAGTATTGTAAAATAAAACAAGATTGTTAATATTGAGATGGCTAATATGCAGTGTTAGCTAGAACCAGCTTATACGTTAAATGAAATTATGAGATCCATGATCAGAATGAATATGGGTTAGAATGTGAAGGAGAAATAATAGTGCAGTTACAACTTCGACCAAATGTTTAGTGGGAGACTGTGAAGTTATATGAATTAAATTAGAAATACTAAAGTAGAGTGAGTGCTGTGTCATGTCTTAGAAAGATTAATGGTGATGCTGAACCAAAAATAATCATAATAGTAGTGGTAGTAGTAAGAATAACCTTAGTAATAATAATTCATGTCCTGTAATGAATATCAACTTTGGAATGAAGGTACATCCAGCTGACAAGTCCCAAATAGGACTAAACGCACCTCCCGGATCACACTGCCAACCACCATCTGTTTCTACTTATTATTATACCAAGATACTTGGATAAGAAATATATTGTATACACCTTAGTCAAATTAGGTTATTCTTTGGTTAAAATTACTACTGATTTTATTGGTCAATGTAAGAAAAGGTGTTGAATATATTTTTATGTATACATAACTCCAGTTTTTTAATCCGGATGGCTACCGTTTCTGGTGCTGGAATGTCTTTAAGTCGGATCGATTTTAGCACAAAGTTACTAACTCGACAAACTATTGAAAAAGACTTATACTGGTGTTATAACCAGTTCGCACTAACCGGGTTAGTATTAAGCTCTTCAATGTCGTGATGACTACGCTTTTGCTTAACCACGCTGTATGGTCTTCAAAAGCACATAAATAAAAATTCCTAGAACCTCGACCAATGTAACTCACTACACAAGAGCAGTCGAATTGATAAGTGCAAACAGAATTTAGTATCCTAATTAGTTCATCTCTGGCTTCAGTCTCAACATTTAGTTTGTGGAAAACACTTTATTTTATTCTATAAATAACCCTAAAATCACATGCCATAGTTGTAAACGATGTACTTTGTCTTAATTTGGATAGATAAAATTGTAAAACCTCAAGAGAATTTATTAAAAGGAATATCCTTTCATCTAGCAGTGCTTTTAGTATAATGTGGATTTCTAAACAGTAAAAATTGTTTTGCTTTAATTAATACATGTAGCTTTCATGCGCTGGCATAGAACACAATGGAATGCGTTATGATGGTGCAGGTTGTTTATCTGCGATTACAATTACCAGGTCAGTTAATTTTATTGATCGAAAATGATAATTATCAAAAGGGTTGTTTTGTTTAAAGAAAAAGATACATAACATCACAGTGATGAATCAATCTATAGACCTCAGTCCTACGGGAGATGAGTCGTGGCCTTAACAACTCAGTGATAATATCCCAAACTGAAACTGCAATAGCCTGATACAGATGCACGTTCCCCACACCCTTTCTCAGTCTGTGCTATATGAGTGAGAACACCAAGTGTTGAACAGAATACTGTAGTCGGTAAAGCAAATGGATCGTACATAAATCATGGTTTTATATTTATCTGTCCTCCTTACTCAAACTGGTATATGTAGTTTGAGACCGTGATTAGGTGTGCAATTTATTCTCTTTCAAAGTTACTCTTTGTTCTTCATCTACATTATTGGTTTTGAAATGCTCTCAGGTAAATATGTCTGGACTCATCTAACCTATCAGTGATGCAAATTCGAATCACATAGGCAGCATATGTTCCCTCAAGATAGTATTCACACCTTGCTGACAAGTGCCAACTAGCACGAAACCAGGGTTATTACTTAGTTTTTGTCAGGAAGTGTAAATACTTGAAATTTTTACCTCATTATATCCACCTCCTTCTGGACTCCCGGGTATAATAACACCATATATATCTGTGCATTCGATACTACTGAATTGCAATTGAGATTAGTAGATTTTACGTCATAATTTATTGGTTCAGTATCCAATTGATCTGTATCTATTGAATATTTACTCCTCGCAGCTTTACTTTTTTTCGAAGAATTAAATTATCTCGATTCTACTTTTTCTTGACATTAATTGTTATTTGATAAAGTACAAATGACCGAGCTCATTACACACATTTTTTTGAAATAATTCACTCGAGTCCCTTGAACACTTCATTTTTTGTCAATAATTTAATCTGTATCTGAATTGGTGTACATATATTATCCATTTGTTCAATTACAATTGATATATTCTACCATGTCTTATGTTATCATTGTAATGATATAAACTGTGAAAGTAGTAGTAACCTGTTTTAGAATATTAAGAGTAAAGTATGGAATTAAGTAATTTATATTTATGAAATTTTTTGTAATTAAATATATTTTCATATAACTGACTTTAAAACATTCAATTTATTTGTTACTTATTTGAATATATAAGCATTGGTAAAAAAGGTCACCAAAGTATATATGCGCCACACGAATCATTGAATTTGTGTGTGAGCTTAAATACTGTCCGGGTGCCCAAACCGAAGTTGTTAGTTATCTTAGGGGACCCACCCCGAACCTTTGACCTAGATGTCTAATCCACAAGACAGTGGAGCAACGTTAGGAGTTGCCGCCCCATGGTAACCTGTGATCAAGAACGTTCATACCCCACTTACCTCCTCAGGATCCTTGAGCTTATGTGCACTGTCGGTTTAAAATCAGGGTTTTCTAACTCCCCCGGATAAGTCCTTCGTACCCACCAACACGGTTTAGAGACCATATATTCTCTTTTCCCTTTCTCAACTTCGTAAACAACATCCTAACCGCGAGAATGCAGTGAGTAGTACTTCTTTAGTAGCGGCTATATGAGAGCATTTCTAAAGGAAGAGTGAACTCTTTTCCGTGACAGGACATTATGTATGTGCGAATTGTAGAGTATCTGTAGCTTTGGGAAGTGATGTAGTTAAAGCGTGTGTAAGAGCTTTTCACCTACGATACAGTGGTTAAAAATAGAATACTGAGCTGCGACTTTATATTTATAAATCAAAGCACAATCTTGCTATGTGTACATATATATGTTGTACATTATATCCATTTTGTATTTTTTAACCATTCTCCTTTTGTATACATAGTATACCATTCAATCCGCCAAGTTGGTATCCATCAGATATTATTCCTCTAGTAGATTTTGTTCATGAAATGATACTTCGACCACATTTCGATCCTTTTACACATCGTCGAAGTTGGCAATTAGATATTGTCTTTACTGGTATTGTAGCTCCTTTAAATGGAATTAATCAAATGTCTTCAACTTATTTGCGTCATCAAACTGCTGAATGGACTGTAGCAAGATTAGAACATTTCAATATTGTCGTACAAAATATACTGGTAGAATGGGAAAATTTATGTTCAATGCACGCTTTATGTTATCATGTTATCACTAATCCCAGTAAGTATAATTTTATGTTTAATTCAACCTTTATTGCTACATTGTGATACTCTAGTTAGTATTGATGTCCACCTCGGGATTCAAACCCAATACCCATCACTTCAATGACTCATCACTTTACCTACCCATTTATTTTTTGAGTCCATATAACCACTCACTTGTTCAACCAGTATCATATTTATGTCATTACAATCGTTACTGACAGAATTAAACACGTTATGTCAAACTTTTATTGGTAAATTATAATGACAGAATAATTAGTTATTAACAATAGTTTGTTAAATAAAAACGTTCACTGTTCTCGTGTAAATTGTTTCATCACTTTTTTAACATTAATGATTATTTTTATTGTCCACGTTATTTGCGCTTATCTCCCAAGTTAACGTTCATTCGATAAAGATAACAGAGTTTGATAAATTTTTGTTTTGGTTCTTTCAATGTCCCAATTGATGTTTAGGACCGCACTTGATCAGTCTCTTATTAGCATATGTACAGCCTGTTCGGATTGCCTCGATATTGCCTTAGATCACAAGCATAATAAGCAGAGATGGATGGTGGCTAGCAGTGGGATCCAGGATGCATGTTTCGTCCTATTTAGGACTCGTTAGCTGAATGTACCTGCATCCCAGAGTCGGTGTTCACGCCAGGACTGAAACCCGACACTGTTTGCTTCAAACGCCAACAGTACTCATTATGGACAAATTGATACAATAACTATAGGCTCATTTCTAGACCCAATTTTAACTGATTTTTTTCTTAGAAAAAATTGAAAATGAACCTTTAATGGGTTTATCAGTAAACTAGATCTATACTGCCACCACATCAACAATACATTCATTATTGTAGATCAAAAGAACACTTGGTAATTCACTCAGTGAATTCGTTTACTTACTAATTGCTGTCTTACTCTTTGTTGAGCGATTTTCCCCAATTGTCGCCTGAATATAACATGTATGTACATTTCCAAAGGTATCATCATATATTGTTGAATTGCAGTATGTACGTGAAAAATATTTAGAAATACAGTAAGCTGTGGAATCTGTATAAAAATGAAAATAGCATACTTTAGTCGATTGTGTACTAATGAAATCCTAATAATAGAACAGTCTTAATGATTCTGATTTTTGATTTGTATTTATATTGATAGTTTTGTTTGAGTCTTGTTATGAGAAATTTTTTGTGCTGTTCAACCCTGTTAACTAAACTGCAGTAGATTTTGTGAAATGTACACCTAATACTATACTAGTTGATGGTTGGTTATTTTGACTCAATCATTCGTCGGTCTATTCTATTTCGTTTCAAATTAGAATTTCCACCTATTTGAATAACAAACAATTTATTTCCTATACAATTAAGTATAGCATTATGCTTTACGGAAGTTATTTGTTCATGTCAATTTCATATGAGAAGAGAAGGCTTATATCTATGTATGTATGCGTTTGTACTTACTGTCAACAAACTTATTATGAATGAACATATAAACGCCAGTTTTTCCCATCGACACAAATTGTTCAGCTATAGGTTCGACACAACCATTCTGATGAAATCGTTCACGTTTTCTCAAATCAGTATTGTCACATTCAACTATATGGTATTCCAATTCCGATAGATTTTTTGGGTTTCTCTAAAATTTAAAAAATAGTCATGTAAATAATATTTTACTTTGAATGAAAATCTATTACTGAATTTTTTTTCTTCTCTTCAATAGATGTTTATCTTCCTAAAGGTGTACAAGTTTATTCATACAATCTTAGGACATTATCATTGATTTATGGTACATACTATTTGGTAAGCTTAATTTATTGTTATTGGTAAAATAAATATTGCACGGTGTATGTGTGATATTCTCTATGTCCGCTGTTGGGTCTATTTCGTTATCTAATCACATGATAGAATTAAGCGGGAAAACTCACAACTCAGCAAAAAGATTTTGTTTAGAATGTGTTTCTATTCCCACAAAAAGTTGACAGTGACTGTCTACAGTCGAAACTGACTAAGAACATAAAATATGGGAACTGATACACAGTTATACAGTTACAACATAGAACCTGATACGTATGTACATCAGTTAAGTTGCCATACCCACCCCACTACCACAGACAAATGAAATCGACTGGCAAAATCCCAGAATGATAGACGTAGTAACAGTATCCGTGGTAACAGAAAAGACTAGACATCGAAGATACGATTCAAGATGGAAATATAAATCTGTGAAGTATAAACACAAAAAGTTATGAGGAATTCGGAGGCTTAGGATATGGAGGAATAGACAGAATGGATGAACCTGCGCTATTGCAGATGATTTTGAGCCATGTCACTCAAAATCTCTAACCAGTGGGTACGATAGTCATACGGACACCGACCAAGTAGTTAACACCTCTGTTCAGTTAGCAATAACTTCATGGACTGATTCCATGTTTTGGGTTGAGCACCTCTTACACATAAAAAAACCCTAGTTCTAGGCTTTCTACCGAATCTCCAATCTTGTCCATCAAGTCAACACCATATAATGGATACTTTTTACTCCCACGATACGCTCTGAAGCTGACTAAATATTAACAGTATTTCGTTTAGATGATGAGTTCGCTTGTATTTATAATCTTAGACTGTCGTTAGGACTATATGTATATGTCACTTAGCTACTTTTGACCTTAACGTTGAATAATTTCACGTTTTTCTATTGTTTAATCTCTTTAACTATTTTCTGTCTTTCAGTAGGAAGACAGAATTCAGTAAAGTCTATTACAAAATTGAATTCTTATGTCATACTGTTTGTTAAATTTGTTTACATTCCGTCCTTATTCTCTCCTTGTCAACCTTTCTTGTGTGAATTGTTTTATACTACTGATCGATATTGAGTAAATAGTTTTATTCCTAGCAATTTCTACGCATATATTGTGACATTTCTTCGTGTAAAATCCAAAAATATTTACAGATACTGATAACATTTATTGCATTCATTATTATAACTGCTTCCTCTCAGTTTTTATAACAGTTGTTCTTAATTTTTCATAGTTGTCTAATCTTTGTTTAAAGGCAACTGTTTCCATATTTGTTTACTATTGGTTCCTTTTTGTTTTTTAATAAACTGTTATCAAGATTAGACACATTTATCAGTTGTTATTTTCACCGGCGTATGTTATAATTATTCTTTAGACTATTGTAGCAGGAAGCAATTTTTCTTTCAGGTTTACAGACGCAGTAAGTGCTACAGAAACCCCACGAGTCAATGTTTGTAAATAATTTATGTCTATTCCTCAATAAAAAATCGCTGTTTTATGAACTTTGGTTTCCCGTGTATTTCAATCATGTAATTAACCGCTTCGATGGACTTAACATTATTATTTTCTCTCTTTAGGCTGATATATCTAATCCAACTGGACAGAAATTTACATTGGCCTTAGGTTTTCGACCAATATCATTGAGTATTAGTAATAATACAACAAGAGAATTAAACTATGATGATACCAATATGAGTAATACAATAAATGTTGATTTCAATCCACATATGATCGCTAGACAACACTTGGAAGAATTGTTAAATGCTAGGAAGTCGATATATTTTCTAGCTACAGTGAGTTATTATTATGAATATTATGATTTATTTCATACACTCTGATTCCTTAATCAACTGAACTGAAGCGAAAAGCAGATGATCGACAAACTAACATGGATTCATTATATTTCAAGGTTTCTCCTTAGATGCAAACGGAATTCTATAAACTTCACTTTCTTTCAAACAAAAATTACAGCGAATATGTTTGGAATACTATGTACATAAACTTATTTCAATCCTTCATGTGTACTTCTTTACACAAGTACACTTAAATGCATTTATAGGTGACCTCAGAAGGTTATTTATGCATTTTAGATTGATTTCAAAAACATAGGCTGTTATACACCAAAAATAGTTGGTCTTCAAGGAAGCATCTCTTTAGCGCCATTTTAATCCCTTCTATTGTTGTTTGTTTAGGATTTTCTAGTCATTTTCCCGTACTTCGTAGTTTAATCTTAAAAATGGCCTCTTTTTTCAAACTCTTTCGATCGTAAATACAATATGTCGAAGATAGAAACACATTCGTTATCTTCATCAAATATGTAATTTTCCTAAACAAACTTCGGTCAATTTGTTTCACCTTTGTTGTCGCTTACTTTACATTATACTCCAAAAAATTACACCTCTTCAAGAGGTTTTGAATTCATAATCTGTAGGTATCATGTTCAACATGTAAAAAAGTATATCTTAGTGCCTGTTGTACAGGCCTGTTCCTGATTTATGTATTACATCATTGGACAACCTTTAAAATATATTGTTGTCGCATAATATATATGCTAGATACAGTATTGTAGAGTTATTATTATTCTGTTTTGTTGCATTAACTCTAAAGTGTTGGGATCTCGTTTTGTTAAACAATTCACAAGGTATAAAATGTGAATACAATTAGTGGTTTGTATTTAATAAAATAACGTTTACCGATGGTTTGTACAATTTCAAATGTTTGTTATCAATGATTTTCGTAACACTTCAACGAATTCACCATTTAACCTAACTAATAATCTTCATGACCTTACCTAATATGGGTTTTTTTCAACAGTCTAAGGAAACGTAATGGGGAACAATATAGGATAATATCTAATATGTCAGAATTTAAACTTCATCAAAGTTAAGTGTCCGTTTATTCTAAAACAAACACGTATTTTCTTCCTATTAAAACAAGTTGGACAGAAAACCTTTTTGCTATATTAACAAAATATGTGAACGTAAATGGCGATTAAGTGAGAAACTTACATCAAAATCAATAACATTCTAAAGAAAGTTTTTGGTACACAATCTGCAGTATGCCATAAGTCTTGCTAGTTCAATCTATAAAAATTGACCATCGTTCAATTTGTAAGAAGAATCTATTCATTTCAAAGAAATTTAAAGTAAAAGAGACAGACGTACATACAATAAAACTCTTCACACACCTAACGAATGTATTTTTTTTGTTACAGAAAATGGCAGACCATGAAATACAAAAAAGGAAAGTAAATAACAGATCTTGAAAGCATATAAACTTTAGACAAATCTTGTAAAAACTTTTTTTTCCTAGTCTATAACAAACATCAAATGACGCGAAATGTACTTTTGATCAAATTATTTGTATAGGAATTCCAGTTTACAGTTGAAAAGATGTTTCTTTCAGTTATGTCACAAGTTGTTCCCATATTTTTGATTTGTTTCATCTCTCTTAAAATGAATGCTCCTTCCAAATACGTTTTCCGGTAAAACATAAATTATCCAGTGATCATAATTAAAAAATCGATCTAGTTTGTAAGTTATATGATTGATCTAGAGTGTAGTATCAGAGGGAGTTTTATTATTCAAGAAATATATGGAAACTGTAGTATGTACCGGTCTTTTGCTGAATCTTTACCCGTGTCTTAACAATCCGGTGCAACGTTGTTGATCATAATACCGCTACAGTAGTATTTGTCCAAATTTCTTAGAATTTTTTTCACTTTACAGTTGATTTATTTCAGAAATCCTAATGTTTTAGCATATTTTTTGATGATTATGGCTTTCTTTTACATTGTTTATAGACAATGTTGAATACATTGGACTTCTTTCGATGTGTGGAACCGCTCCGAGATCAAGTTTTGTCTTATAATGGTCTTAAGGTAATCATTTTTAAATGAAATCAATATTTTCTTTAATCAGTAGAGAATTTTTAAGTATACAAGTGTTAGTTTCTCTGTACTATCATGGAACTTATTTTAGTAAACTACTCTATTTTATCTCCTAAAGTATAGATTAATATTCTAACTTGAAATTTAGAACAACGTAAATGATTTCGCTTTACTGTAATCATTTCTAAGCCATGTATATCTAAAGGTCTGCAACTGTAAATTATAATCATTCTATAGACCACAACCATGAAATTTACACTTCTTTATATGGCTCATTAGTTTCGTAGATTAATGTATGTACGTATGTACTCAATTAAAAGAGTATTAGAACTAGTCAACTGAATATCAACACTAGATAAGACAATGTAAGCTTACTGAACAGAAATATAGAGGCTGTCAAATCCAACACATTGCATCAGCTCATGAAGTCATCCACTGTTGAATTAACTCATATAGATAAGCAGAAATAGGCTGGTTGGGGTCTCCGCTTCTATTGTAACAAAAATTGTTGGAACGGTTCAATATCATGGCGGTGAATCGATCACAATGGTGCAAATGCATTTATTCTTTATTTTCCTTTCAAACCTGAGTTTCAAAATTATTCCAACTGTCTTAACCTGGGAATTCATTTCTCTTCTCGAATCATGTTGTCTATGCCTTATCTTTTTCACTTTCAGTAATAATATTACAATGTGTGCTACTCTGAGATTTTCCATAATAAATTCACTTAAATTTGCTGATATGGTGTATCATGTTGAGCCGATAAACATATATTCCTCATTCTACGTCACTCTTGACTGATTGACTGACTAAATGCCCCATTATTAAGAAAGAGCTATTGTATAATCTTTTTTGATTTTAATGACTGTGGGTATGTGTTTTTCTAGTTCTGTCTTTCTTCCTCAATGAAGTGTTCTTATTCGTTTAGGTTACATCTCATAATCATTGTATACAAGCTGTATGTGGCATGCTATTGATCGCTTTATCCCCTAGTGATCTTATTCTAATCTATCGTGCATCACTAAGCTTACGAATTACACTAAATATTATCGAACATTCAATTGTATCGTCTTCAGTGTCATCGTCTAACAGTAATAATGATACATTAAAAACAACTAAATCTATTCAATTACTTGATGCCTATAATCAATTAACAACAGGGAAAAAGCCCTATCCACCTATTTTCAATACAGATGGATGGAATAATCAAATGTTGGATGACAATGCTTTATGCAACTTGGCTCCATTACCTGCTTTCTCGGTAGGTTTTTGTTTATTTTTAATTGTGTGCGTGTCTTTGTTGTTGATGTATAGAACAAACACGACGAGCGTAGTAGAATAAGATAAATTCATTTATTTCATGTGGTTCTCATCGCCTGCCCACAACCTATAAATAATAATAAGGATTTTATTGATTTATAATGAATAACTATGGATGTTAAAGCTACGTAACAACTACTGTAAGATTTAGTAGGATAACAAAGTTAGGTGAATAAATATTCATCCACTTTTCGTATAGTGGAATTCAGAGCGGCCTCTGCTAATCTGCGTCGTCTTTGGCACCATCGTAATGTTAGTCTGACTGTAAAATGTTGGCTCTATACCCTGTCGGTGAGAGGAGTTTCAATCTAGTCTTTCCGATTTAAGAATGTTAAGCAATTCTTTGTATTGTGTTCTGGCAGAATGAGAATAATTTGACTGGCGTCACTATCTTGGAACACTGACCCCGGTTGCTTGAACATGTACTACGATTGTCTTCCTAGGAAATTCCACGTCTTGCATTATTCACGGACTCTGGGACTGGTTGTAAAATGTGGAAAAGTGGTTTGTTTATAAGAACATGCTGGGGTATTTAAGAAAGCTCTATACGACTGACATCGTCCTGTCCTTCACGACTTCCCTGCCTTGAGATCCTAGAGATAATAAAACTCAGTGGCTTGAAACGTTATCAAATATCGTTGATTATTATTATTATTTTAACACATAAGTATAGGTACAGGGAGGCACCAAATACATATGTGCCACACGAATCTCAATTGATTTGTGTGAGGGCTGTGATACTGCCCGGGTGCCCAAACCGAAGCAGGTGGTTTTCTTAGGGGGCCATACCCCGAGCCTTCGACCTGGACGTCTGACCCACAAGGCAGTGGAACATCGTGAGGAGATGCAGTCCCATGGGAGCCGGTGACCAACGATTGGTTCATACGCCATTTGTTCGTTCAGGATACTGGAGCTAGTCCATGTGCACCATTGGTTTGGGGTCCGGTTAAAGCGCCAGACATTCGCTTTTCGTCCTCTCAATTTCGTAAACAACACTCTCGCCACGAGAAGGCAGTGAGTAGGACTTCCCTGACAGAGGCTATATACGCATGGCCATGTGAGAGCATTTCGAGAGGGAGAGCGGACTCTCTTCACTCTCGGCCGTACCAGGGCATTTGGGGGCAAAATATCGTTCAGAATAAAAGCCAGTGACGATCCTGCTGTAAGTTTCCTTTACTTTCTTCAGTTAAAACTGAAAGGATTATTTTTGGTTGTATTTTATTTAACTGAACTGTTTCTCTTACTATCTTCTACTTTCGTTCACTTGTTTTTATTCGTTTATTGTTTTGGATTGTACTCATCCTCTTTCCTCTATCTCTTCACAATCTTATTTGCTTATTGTGTGGCGCATATTTTCTAATGCCCATTTGTACTAATATTTATGCGTTGAAATAAATAATTCAGCCCTTCTTCCCGAATTGTTTTCTCAAATGTTTAATCTTTCACGATCATAAATACTACTGTTATTTTGATTATTTCATTAATCATCTATTTTTGTCATGTTCATGTAATATGAAGACTTGGAATAAAGTACGTTTCTGCCATGTTTTTTAAGGATTGTGGCAACTGACTGGTGGTGACATGAACATTCAATATTTAAATTTAAATGGACCCACTCACCAAGTAATTGTTTATGAACCATCCTTCAAATGTGAGGCCTAATAGTACTATCTGGTTGTCTAAATTATAGTAGGAAGACAGCACTTCAAATATTAAGGCTTGGTGGTCAAAAGCTTAACAATGTAACCACTAAGTCACCGCTCCATTCAACATATGTGTTGTTTGTTTTCGTGAAAGACTTTTCTGTTTGTTGCTTTTTGTTTTTTGATTGTCAGTCAGTAACAACGTAGAACTTCGTACTTACGTACATCAGTTCGAGTTGGTTGGTAAATATTTCTGTGACCGATATATTTTTATACAAATGTTTTTCTTCTAATCCTACTACGTTGTTTATTGTTTTCTTAATTTTTGTATAGAAATTCTTAAAATCCTTGCAAGAACTATTTTGCATAAACTCAGATGGTAAGCTATCGCACTATTATCATTATTATTAATATGCATACTTATATTGATTGTTAAATAATTCAGGGAAATCTTAAAAATTATTACTCATAAAGGTGTGTGCGGGGGAGTTGTTAAGTGGTTTATATCACAAACTGATTCTAATTAGACAACTATTAACAAACCCGAAATCACACTGGATGGTTGTTTACCGTAGCATGGGACTCTTCGGAGCAGTACACATTTGTAAGCACGATGAGGGTCAAACCTAGAGCCGCTGTAACAATTTGTTATTTATTGTCTCCTAAATAGTTACTTGATACACTATAGGTACTTATTCACAATAAAAGTTCTATGCATAGTATATATGTGATTTTCACGCAAACACCTGTTATCTGTAATTGATTTCAACGTGCAACTTATAAGAACTCCGTTAATTTGACGACAATATAAGTGTCGTTGAAATCACGAACCGTTCTAAGTTAGATCACTTAAAAATCTAAAAGTATTAGACGGCCTTTTCGTCCTATTATGGCACAATTCAGCAGTCCACCTCCAGGACCTCGCACACGGAGATCGAACTTCTAACCTTCAGGCCATTGATTCCGACATCCAGTCAAATTCAATAATCTCCACAACCCCTAACTGACAACAGTATCAATTGTTGTTATTGAAAGTTGAAATTGTATATCTTTAGCGCAACACATGAACAAATAGTTGCTGTTTCGATTACTTCATTTGTCAGTAAACAACAATCAGTCCGTTCACATATAATGTGCTTAGTTTCTTTTAAAATGAAATTTAACAGTTAACAATAATAGTTGAAGATCATGAATTTCTTAGCTATTTTCTAAGCAACATAATAAAAATAAAAAATTAACTCGATAGTTTACTATACTTATCTCGATTTCATTCAAGTAGTTGGTTATTTTTGTGTGTTTTAAATGACTAATGGTTAAATGAGTAGTAACTGGTGTCACGTTTACTTGTTTTTAGCACTGATTTAATTCTATTGATCAGGCTACCATATGTTTAATAGTCTAAGTCACTCGATATTACGTAGTTTGTGTTAGTTTCGATGAAACTATAATTTATGGATGACCTTTGAGCGATTCCAACGTGACCTTAAGAGTATCTACCTAATTAATAGGGCTAGATGAAGGTTATAAATCAGTTTGAGGAATAAAGATAATGATCTACAGTTGATGGCAAGAGTAAGGATTTAGATTTATGGTTTTCATCACGAACTGACGTCAGCTAAAATGCCAAGACGCTATATGAACAAATGGGTGAGTGAATTTCGCGCCAAAATCGAAGACCTGCTATCCTAAATCTGATTGGTTCGTCCATAAATTATAGTCTTGCGTTTGTTTCTAACCAGCTAATATTTCAAAATAATCCATGAAATTTCAGAGCATCTAAACTAATGGTTACTTTACATGTTGATTGATATGATCCGATTAGGACTAATGGAATTGATGAATATTACGCTATTCCTCATTAATTGACCTATTCATAGCCAAATTAATCAGTTTCTTTATTGTATATAGTTTTGTCAATTGGTTCCATCATTTCTTTGTCTTGCATATAAGTCTTGAAAGCTAAATTGATTGGTGTGTTTATATCCCATTGTAAATCTGATATTTTCATGAACATTGTTTGCATAAAGAAGTAATTTGAATTGCTGGTAATAAATTTCTTCTTATCTAACAAAAACTTATCGGATTACTTAGAGAAAATCACCACTAACGTCCTACTTTTAATTGATTGATTGGAGAGTAGACTCAATTTTCAAATTTTTGGATATGTCGTGTGTTCTGTGATCTGAATAGTTTAATCACAAAGCTTGCATTGCTTTTCACAACTAATTGATCATTGGGTAGTGATCAATGTCATGTAATTCAAGTCCTTTTTGGTGTCGACCGAATTGTATTGATCAAGTTACAGTGTGGATACTAGTTTAGGTGACTTGATTTCACATTCAGTATATTGTAATTTAAGGTGGTGGTTCGATGCAGTTGACTGGAAATCTTGGACCTAGGTTTCGTGCTGTTCAGTACTCATCAAGAATGTGTACTTGTAATCTTGAGTCAAGTGATGCTCCTCGGCGGATTCGGTCCAGTGTCACACAGCTCCACAGTCCGAGACGTTATCACTAAGTTATCCGTTTCTCAGCTGACCAACTGTAGGACAAATGTATCTACAATGAATTGATCACTGAGTAGTGATCAAGGTTAAGTCCGCCACCAAACCTCAGCTCTCAAAATTACATGCCGACGAGTGCCAAATGACACAAAACCTTGGTCCAGGATTCCCTGTCGACTACCTCCAACCACTACTTTGCATTGTTTTCCTGGACAAGTTCATCATAAAATGCTTTACAAAAAGAAAAGAATTTATTTGAATTTCTCCATAATTAACTGACAACTTGTTCTGCTTAGTTGTTGTCCACAATTCTTTTTTGCTCCCAGTTACATATCTGTTTTAATTATCAGAAATCACAGATTTGGTAATGGTTAGTTTACAATTAAACTATGTAGGTCAGAGATCATACAATACCTTGAAATTCCTTATCCTACGCTACAAATATTGTCTATCCCCTTAAATTACCACAATTTTTTCAGACTATCGTGTAATCTTCAACATTATGATCATTAATAATATTTTTTTCTATTTTTCTATTTTATAGAAAAATTGACCAGCTTAACACTTAATCAATTTTCCCAACTAACAAGATTAACATTTGATAAATTTAAATCAGGTATGATGTCATCGAAAACATTTTCTCCAACAAATTGTCGTCGTACCGATCCCGGTCCAACATTACTTGAATCTTATTTATCAACAAGTTTATTATTTCATGCTGCAATTTTGGCTATACAAAGTTTAGATGTACCAATTCATCATGTTCATAATGAAATCCCCTATGATCAACAACAACAACAAACAGATGAACAACAACGTATCAAAAATCAACATGATCTACTTGAAAATGCAGTGTTTATATGCATTTGGCCAGTGAGTCAATTAACTGTTCAATTGTCAATGTTATGTCAACCAATTACAAACAACGGAATCGAATCTTTCTGGTGGAGGCTAAAACTTCAACTTAGTCAAAATGTCAACTCATGTGATCGTTGGCCACCTGAGACACTGAGTGTTTTTGAAGAGTTTTTTGAGAAAAGAGTAAGTTATGCTCGAATACATACATACATATAATATGTGATTTCATGCTGTTGTTAATGTGGGGATTTGAAATCAGTTGCATTGCTTGTACACGTGATATATTCAGTAAATGAAAGTGAATCTCTCTACTCAGGAAATTGAACAAAACTTGAGAGTAATCCACTAGAAATTTCCAGAATTTTTATGGTTATTTATGAATAGAATGTCTGTTTTGCAAATAGCTTAAAAGATTCGGTGAAAGCGGTTAGTACTTCAGAAACTTTAGGCTGATCATCGACCTTTTATTTCGGTAGAAAACAGTGAACATATGTAATATTTTTTGTTCTGATTGGCGATTTACTGTCTTAATAATTACTAATGAACTTATGTTGCGGTAGTCTTCTGTGAACACGATTATGACAAGGCATTTGGGTGTTGAAAAGCGAAGATCAGTCCTTTTGAGGACTTTCAGGAATGTTTCGAACAGTGAGAGACGAGGTGAAACGTATTTGGCGTTTGGTGACTACACTACTCAAGCTGGAAACCCCGAACTTTTGTTCCGTGCTAGTTTTGACTTGCGATGAAGGCATACCTGTCATCCTAATAAATCTCATATCGAGTTACTTATACTAGCAACTACACTATAATACTATTACATTACCCTTACCACGGAAATGAACAATTCCTTCTTATAGTTCACATCATGAACTAACCTTGATTAAACAATCATCGAAAACCTGGAAGCATTTGGTGGTTATTTTGTCCTAGTATGATACTCCTGAACAGCGAATTAAAAATGAAGGTCATTGAATCCCAATTGATCAGTTTAATGGCTAATTAGTCTCTGTGAGAACTGGGTGTTCTGAGTTCGATCTCCATAGGTTTGCAGATGCACACCACTGAAAAATCCTATAATACACCGAAACAGTTGTTTAGTGCTTTCTAGTTCTCTGATTCATCGTCTAACCATAATTAGTTCTTAAAGTGAACTGCAAAATTTCCTTTTATTAACAAAGCATTTTGTTTTCCTTTTTTCTGTTCAATGTTATATTTTAGGTTTGCTCTTTCCCATTTCAACCAAGTGCTGTGACTGCGTTTTTCCGATTATTGTTACTACCTCCTCATGCATTACGTGCAATGGGTCGTGTTCTAGCGTTTGATTTACATTCACCTGCACAAGCTCCTGTTTATGTACGTATAGGTTTAATTGGAATGGGTGTTAATTCGCGTGTTACTGCTATCAGTAGCAGTAGTTCATTAACAAACCAACCAACAAATGCAGCAGCGTCAGCGGCCGCCGGTGCTGCACAAAATCTACTTACATTTGACACTGGTTCTGACTTACAGCCTGGTATGCCTGGTATCATTGTTCGTCCGTCGAAAATCACATTACAACTGTTAATAATGCGTTCACATTCACGACATTTGGTAAGCTTTTTGTTATTATTTTTTAATCGAAAATACCAATCATATAATTTGAAATCAAATATATGTATTTTCAGAGTAAGTGTGCTAGTGCACTGGATTTTCATTTTTATAAAACTAGTCAATTGTATTTTACCAGGACAAATAATCGTTGATCTGTTCGGTAATTTAATTACAGAAATACATCAATAGGTTAAATTATCATGTTTTGGTTGGCCTACTGTCGACCATCTTTACGATATCGTCGTCACCTTCAAAGCTGAAATAGATAAAGGGGTGGTGTTCAATGTCAACCATAATTTTCGTTTTTTTGGTCGACAATTCTATATATCATTTTTGCCTTATTGCGTATAGTTGCCGTTTTTTAAATGAATTTGTGTCCAAACCTATTGCTATTATATAGGTTTCTAAATACGACTACGAATTGAGGTTCCCGGTTGACCTACGATACATGCAAATTTAGATACGAATGAGCTATTCTAATACGAATGGTTCTCCTATGGATTGGTTAACGGGAGCTAGCACAAAATAACACTTCATCAATTAGCTTCTAACACTAGAAAATGAAGTATGGGATATACTTGATATTCAGATAAAACAATTTAAAATGTAAGAAGTTTGTCTTTACACTAACGAAAAGAAAACTTCAAGAGGTACACAGAAAACCATCCACTTAAAACTAGTATTAACCAATCAAGAAAGAGCAAAGGTTATGCAGAAAATTAAGTTCAGAAAAAATCGGTTATCATTTCATTTGTGAGACTTTAGAGTAATTAACAAAAATTTGAATAGTCCCACTACCCCCTTAAACCATTGCACACATATATTTTGTGCCCTACATAAACAAAAGAATGCTTTTTAACAGTATTCTTTTATAAATGAACGAATAAGAGCTATTGATATAACTATTATATTGTTTATTTCATGTTTTCTTCTAGTAAATGATCTAAGTAGCTATATGTTTAATGATAGACTTTTTATTCTGTGCTTTACTTCATAAAGAAGGACTTACATAGTTAAGACATTCTACTTTCAACTAGTAGGTTGCATGTTCAAATTCCTCATAATCTAATTTGGTTTATATAACCAGATATTATCAGTATCCTCCTTGACCTTTGATGATTTACACTTTATTCTTCTTCTATTTTAAATCATTTGTTGAAATAATTAGAGATCATATTAAAGATTTACTGAATAAATAATAATATGTATTCACATTTATTGATTCTTTCTTGTTATTTTTAGTCTAAAAATCTTATCCCATTAGCCCAATTAGTTGTTGTTGGCTATGATTGGGATGTAAATCACGTTGTTATCTATCCAACTATTAATCAATCACAAAATATAATGACAAATAATAGAAATCAATCAGATACAATTGGTTTAAATCTCTTAAGATTATTACATGATACTGATGTAGAATCGAAAGCAAACGCTATGGCAACCAGTAGTAATGATTCAGCATTAGTTCAACTTGTTCTACTTATTACACAAACTGTAGCTGCATCCTATCCAATCAGTTCAGCTGATTCTACTTCATTGAATAATCCCAATGTGATGACTGGATTTGGTATAGGAGGAAGTGTTAACAGTGGAGCTGGTGTTGGATCACAACAAGCATTATATGGGTAAAAATTTGTTGTAAATGAATGATTTTTTTGTTTGTTTGTTTGTTTTTTTTTGATGAAGTTTATTTTTTTCTTTTATTGGCTTTTTTTTAATCTCTTTTTTTTAAAATAAGATTTCTTATCAACCTTCAATGTGTGTTTACAGTCACAAGGTTTTTTCTCTATGATATTTCTTTTGTATAAATTTGTATTGTATTATATTTGTATAATAATCAATTGTTTCTTTTGTAAAGAAAAATTCTACTTTCTTACCTATGCATTTAATAAATGAAATATTAATCAGTTGGACTTTTCAGTTATGTACTATAATTTAAAGAAAAAAATTTTTGGTTGGATATGTGTTCTGATTTAGTTAATATTATATTCGCATTTCTAATAACTTGTATTGGAAAGTGAGAAACGATTACAATTTCCACTACACGAATTAAGATTACAAAGACTGGTACAAGTGAAGATATATTCCCTTTCTTCCATGAATACACGATATGTCAATTAGTTAGCTTACAATAAATCTGAATTTGGAATTATTTTGAGGTAGATGCTCCTAATACGAACAATTGTTTATATTACTGAAAAATTATAGAAACAAGAAACTAGGAACGGTGAACACCTATCAGATAATGACAAAGGTCAATAGGGAAATATGGATTGTAAAAGGTTACTACATCCTTCCTGTCCCTCGCAGAATGTAATCTAAATATCTTAATTGTACTTAGTTTTGTAGAGATTATTTAAGATACACATAGTTTGTGCTTAAAGTGACTATAATCAACGCTAACTAGTGTTTGTTTTAACTGTCGCCTGGATTCACGTACAAAGTATATCAGGCCTACGGCATGTACAAATTTTCAGAACTGCAATTGATTGTACCTCTTATATCCAATTATCAATCCGTGTTAGGCAATTTGTCTCATCGGTTAGAAATGAAAAAAACTGAAGCTTCGACTTGAAGAAATTAATTTTTTACTCTAAATGATTGTTTAACGGCAAGAATGGAAAAATTAGTTGGTTACTAATCATAATTACACATCAACTAGTTAGGTTGCTAAAAATCGAGAGAAACGTACAAATCATTCCTGGTTGCAAAGGCTAAATCTGTTTAATTGAATTCCTATGACTTTTGGTATGAAGGTGACGCCCTCAAACAAATGGGAGACTGAGTGGAATTCGATATATTGTCTACATTTTTCTAGAGGGCTTGTGAGTCAGTAAAACTGGATGCAATCGCTGTCTGGTTTTATCAATGCGTAATCAAATCATCATAATGCTTTTTTATCCGTTCGCCTATAAACAAATAACAACACTGTTCTCTGACTAGGTAACATAAAAGGAACAGCATGAGAAATTTTCCAACTCTGGTTTATATATTTCTGTATGTAAATTAACCTCCAGACACCTGAGTCGAGATCCAGTGGTGTACAAGTCTAGTTTGAACCAATCCGCAATATTGTACAACAGTACTGTATTGTTTTCAATGTGTACTTCACAGTTAGCACGGTTTAGTTAAACTAATCAAGATTTCACGCTAGGACTCCAAGAATTTCATGTGGAAGCTAGTCACTAGTGAGCAAATAATAATTGTCAGTGTGGGGATTGCGACATTACTCAGTAGTCATAGATTTTTATTTATTCACAGCAAATATCATGTGAAAAATGATTAAATTTTTTAAAAGTCTAGTGAACTGTCTGAATGAAATATGTACCTCCAGACTTCAGTGTAATGAAAAGTCTTACTTTTGAATATTAACAAATCAGTAAACAAAAGTAAATGTAAACCGCTTATAACTACTTCAATGCTTTATTCAAGTAGTCGATTACTATTCACAGTTGTCTAAACAACACAAGTTGTTTGTATTTTTTCACTTTTGAAAAGTAAAACAGCATATGTAATTATAGTTACTATTAATGTAGAAGATTACAGTGCGGTTTCCATATTATAAGCTAAACTAACTAAATTAACACGAGATTTTATAAGATATTGTATAGAAATAATCATATCGGTACCTTCTAGTCACTAAATGTATTCCATTCACTTAACTGAGGTTAATCTGTAGTGTAAACAATAAAATTTAACAGTCCTTACGAATTACTCTACAATAATAAAAATCATGTACTAGCTCGTGAATAACTGGTGAAAGTAATTCTTGTATTGCTGATGAGAAGTCAATAATAGTGTAGCTCAATCATATCCTACCGATGGGATTAGAAGATAGTTGTGAATATTGCCCATTAGTTGAAGCTAAACATGTTCACCGTTGGATAGCGATTCAGTGGTTTATAGGTTAAGTGATCTCTGAGAGATCAAAGGTCCTGGGTTTGATTACCGTCGGGGTCGTGAATGCACATTGCACAAGGATCCTATACGTGAATGAAACTGTTATTTAGTACTTCTTGGTTGTTCGTGGTTTGAAATGTGAAATTTAACATTCTCTACAAGTCCCTCCGAAGTAGTTCATGAACACTTGTTTTTCTGAAATTAAATTACAGTCCAGTTAACATAGTTTACAGATATTTTAGAATTCAGCTCTATCACGGAATATATTTAAAGAAAGCGATGTGGACACATGTCAAAGTTTCTTCAACTTTCTTTTTAAATACTAATACAAACACAAAAGTCTGGTCAAACCCACAATAGCAGTATTCCCTAATTATTTTCAAAATGATTTTATGTTTTACGAAATCCTGAGAGTATATTCATCAAGAAAAGATGATGTTCAGGTAGTGCTCTGGCTGATGATTAAAATGATATCCTGTTTATTACAGAAGTGATAATATCGTGAATATTGTTTAGAAATTATTCAGTTTAATAGGTTTAAATTTACCCTTTAACTCATGAAATGTATAGTTGTAGAATGTCATCAAATTTTACATATCGAATATAATAGATATTGTTTCACCCATGAATAAACTCAAACCACTAGCCTTCTTAGACTTTCATACATTTTATTCCTACAGTCAAGTGTGTTTTCATACTAATGTTCAATAATTCTAATATAAACATTACCCTTAACAGTTATTTCGAATAAGAATTAGGTAGGCGTATGTTTCATTAGTTTCTATCAAGAATCGTTGTATGGAAAAGATGTCATGGATTACAAGTCAGTCCACTATTTCACTGACTGGTGTTGTCTTCCATCATTTGCTCTATACCATTCCAGGATATGAATACCAAATTGATCAGTAAAATCTTCATAATGATCAGGTTAAGTTGTATCTGCTTTTTTGAAGATCATGCATAGATGTATATCACGTTTCTGATGATGTCCAATTAAACTAACAGACTTTTATAATAACACTCGGATCCAAAACACGATGTTGGAAAATTCACGACAGATACATAGAATCTTTCGCTGAAACCGTCTATACACTTGTTTGTTGCTTTATCATCTACCTAAATTCGAATAGGGTATAAAATTGTGAACAGACAAATTATGTGCGTCAATGTCATTCAGTAAAAGTTGATCAAAGCTTTTTAAAGTCCAAAGATGTCATGTTTTCAATTTCCAGAAATCACGAGAACTTATAATCTCTCTGAGATGCAATTTTGAAACCGGCAGACGTATGAAATAATTTATTTCGTGTTTCGTTCAGCGAAATTAAAAGTTGGGTTTTGTTGGTACATGTACGAGCTTTGAATAACAGGCTTTTAAATTTTTCGCCTTCTAAATAAACAACATATTAGAGTAAATTAAAATAGTGTTTTTTTTAATAAGATGCTGTACTTCTCAATAAAATTTTCCAATTCACAAGGCTTTGAAGAAAGTATGCAATATATCAATGGATGACCTAATGTTGATCTCAGAAAAAATGTACAGTATGTGGTTGTGGAGATTGTTATGATTTCTGATTAAGATCATGAATCGATCAATGTTAGACCACCAATGAAAACGTAGAATCGCTAAACGACTTTTTCTTCCTAGTATGGGACTCCTCAACTGTGCACATCAATTACTCTGAACACGGGATTCGTTAAAGTTAGACTCTAACACCGTTGGATACCGACTCAATTGATCAGATATTAAGCCGATGTCCTGGTTTCGAGTCCTGCATGCGAGATCATGGATGCACACTGTTGAGGAGTCCCATACTAAGAAGACATAGCCCTCCACTGTTTCCAGGTTTTCAATGTTGATCTAACATTGATCAATTCATGATCTGAACATTGGTACCTTTTTATCAACGGATCTTTATTCTTCATTTATAATTATCTGATCACAACGATATGATTCAATGAAGTTTTGGATTAGATACTAATATCTTATTCATTGATCATTATAGTTTCGAGATAAAAACAATATTTCATCTTTAATAATACTTGAAGAAATCAATTATATAAATAGGTTTATAAACATTCATACAACTAAAACAAAAACAACATTTCATACATTTGAATAAAGAGAAAAACTTCTATATCTTTTTTTTTTCTGTAAGTCAAACATTAATCTGGACATTAATTTAAAGATAATTCAGTATGTTTAAATAAACAAATTATTGACAATTGAACATCGTTATATTAAAACAAAAATGAAGTGTTTTTCTATAGTTTATTCATTTGAAATTAAGTCTTTTTCTTCATAAATGCGCTACATAATTTTTTGTTTTATTATTTACTAATCTTAATTCAAAAATGAATTATCATAATAATTAGGTCTTTGAATACATAGTTAAAATGTCAATGTATTAAGTAATAATACATAATTTTGTAATATTACTTAAATATTAATTTAATATTCAATAAATCATATTATCACTGAGTAAATAGTGTAAATAATTAGATTCGATCAAAGATGATTTATACTGTTTGGTAGTTAAATACAAATAATATGATTTCTATTTATTCCATACAATAAATAGAGACCTACAGGTTCTGGGTTGAAATTTCACGAGGCGGTATCATGGATATACACTGTTGAGGAGTCCTACAATAGAACAAAACGGTCGTCCAGTTCTTTCATGCTGGTCTAGCTTCAATTGACTTATGATCTCAATTATTAAAATTACTATAAATTCCACAAAAATCCGTTTTGATATGAATCAACATATTCTCACTAGTGACTGGCTTCAAGAGGTATTTCCTGAAGTTCTAGTGAGAAGCAGTGACCAGTGGTGTTCAACCATGTATATTGTGAGATAGTAACTCACTGAAGACAATGGTAGATGTGTCGTTCAATTTTGTGGATTAGTTGATCTTAGACATTAATACCGTTGAATTCCGGCTGGGTGGTCTAGAGGCTAAGCGTTCGCGAGATCGATATGTCCTAGTTTCGAATCTCGTGGAGCGGAATCGTGTTCCACAATAGGACGAAACGGTCATCCAGTGCTTCCGGTTTTTCTATGGTGGTCCAGCTTCAACTGACTCAACCAATAAAACTAATTATTTAGTTTTCATCTGGAATTAGTCTTTTATTATATATATATATATATATATATATATATATATATATATATATATATATATATATATATATGTATATATATATGTATATATATATCAGGCAAGTTCGAATTCCTACGGATCATCATATAGTTAAAGACTAGAGA